CAGGCACCCCCAAACTCGGCCCTCCAGATGTTTTGGGACTACAATTGGTCCTGTTAGCTAGGGATGATGGGAGTTGTTGTCCCAAAACATCTGGAGGGCCGAGTTTGGGGGTGCCTGGCTTAGGGGAAAGTGCCATATAAATGCACTATGCCTTCAGGTACTTTGAATTGTACGGTTAGTATCTAACCTACGCAAGGCAGCTAAACCTAGTAAACAGCCAAATGTCAAGACAGCAGTCAGGCAAATACCATTATGATTTAGTTTCCAGAGGAGTAGCAGTGTTAGTCTTTTGCAGCCAAAGCAGCAGAGTCTGGTGGCATCATAAAGGCTAACAAATTTATTATAGCATACATTTTTGTTTTATCATCAGTTGCAAGTCTGTGTACTGGGAATAACACTTCATGCATTTGGTGAAGTTGACTGTGGTCCCCAAAAGCTGATCAATCTGTTAGTCTTTAAGGTGACTCTTTGTTGATTGTGGTATAAAACGTGTGCAACTGATCAGCTGGTCTCAGAAGATACTCAGGCGCTGAAATCTCATGAGAAGGCAGATTTCATGAGGCATCGCAATAATGAAGCCTGCATAGAGCCCCTTTAAAATGCAGAGGAAGTCCACTTTCAATATGTGGCTACACTGGGGAGCGGGTATAGCCTGGAGGTGGAACAAATACAGATCTACAGTGAAACTGACATTCGGGACCAGGAGTGCCAACGTGGCCCCACGACCGTGGGTGTCTGGGGCCATGGGTGCCATGCAGCGTGCATGGCCCTGGCATCGAAATATGTGGGTGCCTGGCCCCTTCATGGGGAATTATGTGGCTGCTCGGGCACCCAAGGCCCCAGGGAGTTGGCATCTATAACCATCCAGGGGTCATGTACCTTTACCTTTATTATCAACAATTTGCATTAGTCACCCTTCATGTATTAAATAGATGCTGGTGGCGCTGTGGTCTAAACCAATTGGAAGGTCGGCGGTTCGAATCCCCGCAACGGAGTGAGCTCTGGTTGCTCTGTCCCAGCTCCTGCCAACCTAGCAGTTCGAAAGCACGCCGGCGCAAGTAGATAAATAGGTACTGCTGGGGCAGGAAGGTAAATGGTGTTTCCATGCGCTCTGGTTTCTGTCACGGTGTTCTGTTGCGCCAGTAGCGGTTTAGTCATGCTGGCCACATGACCCGGAAAGCTGTCTGTGGACAAACACCAGCTCCCTTGGCCTGAAAGCGAGATGAGCGCTGCAACCCCATAGTCGCCTTTGACTGGACTTAACTGTCCAGGGGTCTTTTACCTTTATTAAAGAGCATGTTTGCAAACACCTTATCATGTTTCATTACTATGATTTATTTAGTTAGTTAGTTAGTTAGTTAGTTATTGGCTGTCATGGTTTCTTATAATTCTTAAGTCTCCTGGGCTCTCCTGCCCTATCCATGTGAAGGTGAATGGAATCATAGGATGTTCCTATCAGCAATTGCAGTTTTATATGCAAACTTGTTAAGGTTCCATCCATTGCAGATGAGATTAACATACCCTGGCTCCTCCCTAGATGGTGAGGTCTCTAGAGTGCCACCACAGTGGTCTTGTTGTTCATTCTTTCCCCCTCTCCCATGTCACAGTAGATATTATAGGACGTTTCTTTTATCAACCAAGCATTTTCTGAGGCAAACAAACCAATTCCAAAAAAGCCACAAGAAGCGTACGTGCCAAATACTATGTTAATGTTGAGACTGGTAACCACAATAAAGTTTGGAGAGATTTTGAGTTATGACAACCGAAACTTGGCCACGTCACAACCAGACGAAGGCAGTGAAATTAACACCATACACAATAATGAAAGAATGTCAGATGTGCACAAAAGGGTCTTGAGTTGTGGTAGCTGTGGGAGCTCTTACTTTGAGTAAGTATGTTTTCTTAAATTCGGAACTCTGTGCCTGGGTGCTGTGTATAAGGCGCTCGGTTCCCTTTCTCTCCCCCCTTGCCTGATTTGCATTTCTGAAAAAGCCTCCCCACTTCTGCATCGGTGGGTAGAATTATGACACCATAAATTCTAACAGATTTGATTTGTTGTATAAGCTTTTTTCTTATTATTTTTCAGGAGTGTCCCAAACATACACCACAAATGCATTTATTAGTCTTTAAGGTGCCTCAAGACTCTGTCTCTCTCCTTCTGTGTTTTATGACAGACGAACAACAACTCTGTCATCTTTCCATCCTTCTGGTTCAGCACTTGCACTACAATAATACATGGTTTTTCTGGTGTGTGTGTTTTTTGTGGGGAGCTACCCCCAGTGCGATTTCTCACAGTCAGCTGCATGCATGGTATTCTCGAATGAAGCCAATTAGGAAAATGTCCTTTATATTGTTCTGAGCTCCCCACTTCCCTAAGCTACATGATATTTTAGAGGCCCCCCCCTTTTTTTTTACTTTCCCCTGGAAGAGAGAGTGCTAGACACTTGTGGGCTTTTTTTTTTTTACCCTTGCAGGCATATTGAACATAACTGAAGGCAATCCGCATGCATACTCCAACCAGGCCGCAGATTAATTAACCCTAATGTGCCATGTTCTGTACATTACAGAGGATCAGGACAGGCCCAAAATATTTTGCTACCTGAGGCAAATGACAATATCGCCCTTTTCCACATACAGGAGCTGCCTAGCGTAACAGTTGACTCTTACTGTAGTAATTGTTTCTAAATAAGCATCTATACTTATACAGAGGTACCTCTGGTTGTGAACAGGATCTGTTCTGGAGGCCCGTTCGCAACATGAAAAGCCCGCAACCTGAAGCGCGTATCTGCGCAGATGCGCGGTGCGATTTGGCATGTGTGCGCATGCGCGAAGCGCAATTTAGCGCTTCTGCGCATGCACGAGCGGCGAAACCTGGGAGAACCCCTTTCCGGTACTTCCGGGTCACTGCAGGACGCAACCTGAAAAAATGTATCATGAAACAAACGTAACATGACGTATGACTGTAGATGCATCTATACATATATGTAGAGTATATGCACATTTTATGCAAACCTGTATCTTATTTCTTCCTCTTTTTTGCTAATGTATAAGTACCCCAGTACATAGCTAGTACCGCAGATTAGATCCCTAGAGTTATGTCGTCTGCACTCCATGGTACCTTTACAAGACCCCATCCAACGGCCTTAGGGACTCCAGTCCAGATTTGTGTAGGCATTCCTCCTTAGCCTTTTCTTCTCCCAAAGATGTCCCACAAGGCAGCGGGTACAGATTTATCCTCAGGGTTTATTCCCGAAGCCTTTCTCATGAATGGGTATAGCCTCAAAACAGCAGAGATTTAGGATCACTGTTTTCTTTTCTTCTTGATGGGCTACCTTCCCAGGTTGATGACGAGCCCCCTCTGCTGCCTTCTTAACCATTGGACCCATTGCTTATTACTTATCTTTATTTGTTAAATTTGTATACCGCCCTTCATCTGAAAATCACAAGGCAGTTCACCACACACACACACACACACACACACACACACACACACGAGCCTCCCAGACTCTGCACTGTTCACACGAAATCTGCTCCACCCTCTGAAAACAGGCAGAAGGTGACTTAGGGACAGGAAGTTTTCATCTGTACATCCCCTGTCTGTGGAATCCCCTCCTAAGGAAGGACTCTCAGATAAGATAAAATAATTTTGTTCCAATGGCAGCAAAATCATTTTTCTTTGCTTTTTGTGTGGAATGTAAGTTGTCTTGATTATGGTTTTATCTGTTCTAATAAATCTAATTCTGCTGCTTGTCTTTTATATACTTAAAGAGTTGTCTTGTGTTATGGTATGGTATGCTGCCCTGAGCAAATTTGCAGAAGGGCAGGATTTTTTAAAAAAATCACAAAGTAAACAAATGTTCAGGGAAATCCTTTCTTTTGGGCTGCAGGATCATTATCATCTCATCAAAAGAATCTGCATTATGAATGGCACATAGATCTCAGAAGGAGGGGGACTTGAATCACTAGGCCTTGTTTCCTGATATGCTTCATAAAGAGGCTTTGGGGAAAATTCAGAATTCCCTTCCTCTCTAAACGAGATTAGCAGCTGCTGCTGCTGGTTTTGACACCTTCACACTATGGGCACTGCTGCCATTGACAGGCGGTGTGTATTTTAGGAAACCAAATGCTTATATTCCAGGTGGTAAAATCTCCCCAGTAGTCTCTTTCCCATGGAAGATTTATATGTCTTCTGTTACTATTTTTGACCACGGATGTTATGCTTTTCAGAGCTCATGTGAAAATGATTGGCTAGCCAATGTTTATTTCCTAGTCCCTTAGCTAACATATAACTTCTGTTTTAATAGTTGTTGTCTAATAGCCAGGTACATGTTGCAGAGAGTATACCTAAGAAGACTTAGAAAGGGGGAGAATGATGTCCACGCTAGCTGAATTTTCACAGCAGTTTAGGTCCATTGTGCTTTTCCTCTGAGGTCCTTAATGAACCGTCTTCCTATTTTTGGCATTTAAGAGGGACGGAATGCACCATTTCAGCCAAATCCCACTGTTATTATTTGTCCAATACAGCAATGGTTATATTCACAAGTTCACTTGATATGATTTAATTACTTCTGGGAACACTTTAACCACTCTTTGGCTGATACAGTAATTTTTAAAAAGCATTAGACATAAGAGATCACTTGCATACTTTTTTCACATTCCCAACTTCCACAAGCAGCAAGAAATTCCAGTGGCAGTGGTTACCAAGGTTTGGTTTCCTCTGGAAGGAGAAATTGCTGGGTACGTATGGTGTTTTGTAATATTTTGGGTATATTTACGGATATACTAAATGAGAATAAGTGGAGACAGGCAGCAGAACTCTTGCAAGGAGCAAATTTGCTGTTCCACTTCATATAGCCAGAGAAACATCCCTGTGCTCCCAAAATGCTTCCAACTTCCAGGAACAGCTCTTAACTGAGTTCTGTTTTTGCTGCTCATTCAGTTCCCAAAAACATTTTTATTGTTTTCACACAAGCAAACAGAGCTTCTCTGCTCCCTTCAGCTGTGTGTGTGTGTGTGTAGGGAAAGGATGAGTCATCTTGCACAAAATCAATAAACAGTCTTGTCGCACCTTAAAGACTAACCAATTTATTATGACTTCACTTTTATGGACTGCAGTCTACTTCATCAGGTACATGCATAGATGGGTTCATCCCACGTAGAGACAATTGATGAGTAAGGACTCTGCTCCTCAGATATTCTGCCCATTCAAGGAGGCTGGAGACTGTACTTTTAGGGAGGGGACCATATATAGCCCAGTGGTGTAGAACACATACATTACTTGAAGATTGTCCCTGGCACAGCTCCTCTTAAAAGCATTAGGCAAGAAGTGATGTGGAAGACCTCTGCCATAGACCCTTGAGAGGTGCTGCTGATCAGGGCAGACAGTGCTGGGCTAGAGATGAACGACCTAAGGCAGCTTTCGAAACAAAATAAAAAAATTCCTTCCAGTAGCACCTTAGAGACCAACTAAGTTTGTTATTGGTATGAGCTTTCGTGTGCATGCACACTTCTTCAGATACCTGTAACTAAGGCAGCTTTGTAAGGGTTGTGGTGTGAGCATGAAAAATATCAAGTTTCCCTTGGGCAAACACATCAGATGCATTCCTTAATCACAATCAGGTCAGGGAGCCATCATGGGTAGAAGTAAAAAAAAAAGGGGAGCAATTAGTCTGTGCTGGCCTGTAGATAAAAGGAAAGGTAAAGGAGAAGCAGGGCTACGAAGAGTTTCTGGAGGGGTAAGAGCAAGAGGTTTATGCTTTTTATCTTGTTGACTCTACTCAGACCCAGCCCTCAGTCTGGAGCCTGCTAATCAGTTCCCAGCAACCAGCTTTTTTGCTAAGCAATCTGACTTGGCACAGACTTTAAGTCTCTGAAAGCAAGGCGGGTTTGGGGGGTCATGAAAACTGGCATGAGATTGTGCAGTTCTTCTGGGCAGTCCAGCTTGCTGAAGTCGGTGAGGCTCCACCGTTGCCCATAAAACATTGGGATGACAATCATATATTTGCAACATGCATTAAAGTAGGCGGTGTCAGCCGCGTTGTTTACCTGTGATCCTTTGGATAAAAAACAAAAAGAAGTCTCCTCTACTTTATATACTACACTGTGTCAGCGGCTGTAGAGTACTGTAATAAGTCTTGACCTAAGGGGAATAATTGCTGGCAAACCATCTTCAAAGTCAGTGCATAATCCCCTCCAAGGGGGAAGCCTACTTTTGTGAGAAATTCCCAGCAGACCGCTGGCAGAGCTGAACAGGCACAACCTTAAAACACATACACACAGAGAGAGTGATGATGTTCTTTGAAGCTTGAGTGAGCTTTCATTCATTCAGGCACAACATGAAACACTGGAGGAAGCAAAGGCTGTTGGTGATGGGTGGCGGTGGGGCAGCTTAGCCAAGGTGCAAACTGAACCACTGTGTGATTACTCATCAATCATTTTTACCTGCATGCACTCCAGTGCAGGTAATAAAAGATATGCTTTCCTGCTTTACTATAAAACCAAAAAAGAAAGCGCAAAAGTAGCTGGCTTCAAGCCCCAGTTGCCTAATGCCTTTTTTATGGTGCACAGCTATTTTATTTTGGGAAGGCGTCCAAAGAAATAGATTGCTCTTTGAAGTAGCAGGTAACTTAGCTGTGCAATTTTCATTAGCACTTTTGAGCAAATGCATTGAGCCTGGGTATTTTACAGCCATCTTATATTCCCAGTGTCACACATTCCGTTTTCTTCTTTGTCCATGATGCATCTAAATTCCAGCTGATGGGGATCTATGCATCCCCAAAACAGAAGCCAAAAGGCGATACAGTCCGCACAAAATTTGCATGTGCTAATTTTCTATATACCGGTAAGTGGAAATTTAGAAATAATAACAATAATTGAAATAGAAATGCGATACATTTCCCCATAATATGGAAGTCTATATCTTCCCCTTCTCTTGCTTCTTACCATGGAGACAACCTGTCACCTCCAGTGACAGCAATTGAAAACATCTGTTTTTTAAAGCTATAAGAAATGTGGCTGTTTTCCTTTAATTTTGGTGAAGCCTGATCAACTGTTTTACTTCAGGCTTCCTCATCCTCGGCCCTCCAGATGTTTTGTGACTACACTTCCCATCATCCCTGACCACTGGTCCTGCTAGCTAGGGATCATGGGAGTTGTAGGCCAAAAACATCTGGAGGGCCAAGATTGAGGAAGCCTGTTTTACTTCATTCATTTTGTTCGTCTTTCATCAAATACTCTAAACCATGAAATAATACTGGGATCCTTGGGGCACTTGCTGCCATACTTGTTGCTGCCACTGATGTCTAAATGGAAATGGGGGTGGGGCTCAGAAAGAGTGCTGAAAGAGTACATGCCAATCACTTGCGTGCAAACCTTTCGCTTCCAATCATCTATCGTGGTGCATGGCAGTCCTTGTGCCAGCAAAACCTGGAGCTTTAGAGAGTCCTACCTGGTCCACCATATGTAGCTGTTGGGTTGTGGAGCTTGCTGCAGGTGACTTATGCAGCCACCTGCAGCAAAATTTCAAGAATAAGATGTTGTTAATTGATGGAGCTTTGGTTTCACTTCAACATTTATAGCTGAATATTTTTAAATACTATTCCATTTACACCCTCTCTGCTATCAAGGTCGTGTTTCCTGCCATAAGCTCAAGTTGCTGATTGTTCCTATCAAGGGCAACGATTTCACGGGTGGCTTAAGAAGTTTCTTTGCTGTGTATTTTACCGTAGCCTAAGCTGAATCTTCTTTACTTTCTTTTTCCTTCCTTCCTCTCTCTCACTCTTTCACAGCTAAATATGCTTAGGTCTTTTGCTACGAAGTGGTTCATTTATCATTAAATCTATTAATCAGCAACAACGTTGTCTTTAACCAGATGAAGCAAAGCAAGATAAAAATGATGCAGGAAGTTACATATTTTGACATTTCTCAGATTTCTTGAAAAGCACATTGGATACCGTTCGAGGCCAGGACTTTGGGAATAGTGCCTGTTAGCACTAATTGCCCTTTTGAGAAATGGCTCATTTGAAACCATTGTCCAAACAGCCCTCGGGAAAGCCATTGTCGTGGACTGGAAAGAATGCACAGTTCGTATGTGATTAATTGCAAGAAAAGAAGCGGTGAGATTGCAGTGAGATCTGAATTGCCAAAGTTGGTTTGCAGTAACAGGAAATTGTGAACCATATATATTCAGGTCACCCTTTCATTGCAAGTAACAATTCTAGTTATGACAGGTATAGTAATATTTCTGTTGCTGGGCTGCATTGGGTCATGAATCTGATATGTTAATGTAGCAGTAGATCATTTACAAAAATGCCATAGGCTTGCTGGCATGCAGCTTATGTTTTATTACACTCAGGGGCAGGGTTGACAGGGTTTAGTATCTATATACCAGTACGTATTGGAGTTGTCCTGTTCTTATGCTTACATAGCCAAACTTACACCACTGGTACACTAAGGGGCAAGTAGCAGCATATTGGATATAACCCTGACAGGGCTGGCCCAATACGTTTTGGCACCTGAGGCGAACCACGAAATGGCGTCCCCTCACTCCCCACCAGGGAAGAAGGGGTGAGTGAACATCAAGAACAAAGGGGAAAATAAAGATCTACCTTGGGATTTGTTGCCCCTTTGGATACTGCCACCCAAGGCAGTCACCTTCCATGGTCCTTGCCTCATGGGTGGGCCGGCCCTGAGCCCTGGGGTACACACATGTACAAATAACTGTATGGGGGGAAAGGGCCTTTTTCAGGGCTGCAATCTCGCATGGGGCCCCATGAGGGTCACATGATTCATGTGGGAGTGTGGACCCGGATCAGTGTCCTGGTTTGGGTCTGTGTCTCATTGGAGGGTACGGTTAAGCTCTTCCCTCAGTGGGAAGTGGGAACAAAAAGGACCAGAGTTTGTCTCCAGGAGCCTCTATGTTTCCATGGGGCAGGTAAGCCATAGTTGGGCTTACAGTGTCATGTGAACCAGGCCTGTTCAACATAGTTCCAAGCACTTTCTTTTTGCTGCCTTGGAGAAGCGGCTGCATTTGCTTCATATTTTTAAGTAATAAGTGAAGCAATCTGGAAACCGAGATTATTATTTTTTTTTGAAGTGTGAGAGACAAACATTTATTAAAGTAAATACTGCCTACTAAACAAAGCTGCTTTCTAAACAAAGTGGACACGACTCTTTTCTTCTTTTGCCTTTCATATTTGCTATAACTATGTACCAATGCTTTTCTAAAAATCTGGCATTTATTATTGAATGCCAACTCTTTATTCAGGTAATTCCACTGAAAACAATACTTTCCTATGAGAAAAGCTTTTGGAGCAGTTTTTTTTCTTATAATAACCATTTCATGATGACTGAGACATATGTCTATCCTTGAACATCTGCCTTGGAAGCAGACTTTTTTATTTATTTATTTTTTTAAAAAACTGTTATTATTTGGCAGGGTGGATGTGGGTTAGTAAACCATTCCACAAAGCAGAAACTTTGCATTAGGAATTCTTCAAATGTGGTAAAGATAAATATCTTCAAATGTGGTAAAGAGAGATATTCCACATTGGTTTTGCAAGTAAATGCTTTGAGCTCTTTTAAAATGCCTTTTAATGATTCACAGTATTTAATGTGTGCATGGGTTTATAGTTAGCGGATATAAATTTTGCAAATACATGAAACAACACAATAAAATATGTGTTATAAATGAAAGGCAGGGTCCTTTTTATTTACTATGTTCTTTGTAAAAGAAAAGCACTTAGTAGAAACAAACAACAATCGTCATGTAAAAGATTATTTACAATGTCTGTTTTATAATTGTGGTATTTGCAGACTGCAATTCTTATATGAATACTGCCACTGTACAGATTGTTAAGAACGAGAAAGTTCAGATTTTCCCGCAAACACACTAATTCAGTGGTTTCTTGCGTTGATGGAAACATATATGCATTGATCAGGAGTTTTCTTCAATGACTTTGGTGGAGGAGATTAATAATAATAATAATAATAATAATAATAATAATAATAATTGTGCCCCGCCCATCTGGCTGGGCTTCCCCAGCCACTCTGGGCAGCTTCCAACAAAGATTAAAAATACATTAAAATGTCACCCATTAAAAACTTCTCTGAACAGGGCTGCCTTCAGATGTCTTCTAAAAGTCAGGTAGTTGTTTATCTCTTTGACATCTGATGGGAGGGCATTCCACAGGGCGGGCTCCACTACTGAAAAGGTCCTCTGCCTGGTTCCCTGTAGCTTTGCTTCTTGTAGTGAGGGAACCACCAGAAGGCCCTCGGCGCTGGACCTCAGTGTCTGGGCTGAACGATGGGGGTGGAGGCGCTCCTTCAGATATACTGGGCCGAAGCCATTTAGGGCTTTAAAGGTCAACACCAACACTTGGAATTGTGAATACAGTATACCACTTTGCATTTATGGAGCTATCCTACCCAAGGGAAACGCTTGTCAGTAGGAAAGGTCTGTTACTGATGCATATAGGCATGATTTGTGGCCATTGAGAAAAATGGAAGATATACCGTTTACTGAATGGGATCTCTAGATGAAGTATTAAATGGTTTGCCTGCATCCTGTACTGTAGTCCTTACGGGAATAGTTGTGCTAACAATGTCAGATAAGCATTAACACATGTGCAGGTAAGTTTATATATGATGAATTAAGTCTATCTGCCTCCAAGGACTGGTGATTAACCTGAATGGACCTTCATGAAATTAGAATGGACACGTTACAAAAGCATGCGTTGCGAAATGAAAAAACAACAAACAGTATTTCTATTGGCTGTGCTGATTTCTTGCCTACTTCTTGGAAGCAAGCATAAAAATGTTTTCCTAGGGGGTGTAAAAGGTCATGGTTTCCTCCAGAAAAAAATCTGAATGCATTCATTTGGAGTATATTCCACTGGGTAATTATTTTTAATAGAGATAGAGAGGAATGTAGTAGGGCTTTAAGGTTTAGATTAATGCTCTTTGGGAATTTGGGGGAAAACTTCTCTTTTTGTTTCTTGATTGGCTTGCCATAAAACAAAGCTCATCAATTCAATGAGCACGTGCAAGTTAAATTATATTAAATGATTCCAGAGGTCAAGAATGCAGTTCAGAAAAAGTTCTGGTCTGATCATCATTTATTTTAATAGAACTTGTGCAGAATTTTGGTATATGCTAAACTGTAGCTGTATGTTGAAGAAGCATGTCACATGAATATAGAAACTGCCTTAGATTGAGTCAGACCATTGGTCCGATATTCTATACCAGTCTTCCCCAACCTAGTGCCCTCCAGATTTTTTTGTACTGCAGTTTACATCCACCTTGGATGGTGTGGCCATGTGCTCTGACTGGCCCCAGTTTTCCGAGGCCTCAGGCAAAGGACTCCCCAAATTCTGTTACCTCTTCTACTTTTTTTTTTAGCAAGACATACCAGGAATTAACCTTGAATTAGCCTTCTGTATGCAAACCATCTGCTGTACCACTGAACTATTATTACCGTATTTTTCACTCTATAAGACGCACCAGACCATAAGGCGCACCTAGTTTTTGGAAGAGGAAAACAAGAAAAAAAATATTCTGAATCCCAGAAGCCAGAACAGCGAGAAGGATCGTTGTTCTGGCTTCTGGGATAGCTGCGCAGCCTCTTCAGGGCAGCGGGATGAAGGCTCCCCGTGCCCTGAAGAGGCTTCACGCGGCAAAGCCAAAAGCTAGAACAGCAAGAGGGAGCGCTCGCAGCGATCCCTCTCGCTGTTCTGGCTTCTGGGATAGCTGCGCAGCCTGCATTCACTCCATAAGACGCACACACATTTCCCCTTACTTTTTAGGAGGGAAAAAGTGTGTCTTATAGAGCGAAAAATACGGTACATTCAGCAGAGAGAGGATTTAGACGTGCATCTTTCAACTGCAGAATAGAATTGCCAGTTTCCTTTAAGAGCTCAGCAGAGACTCAGCAATTGTAGCTCTGCAGAATGGTTTAGCAATCACTCCCTTTTCACATGGCACTCTGGGAATTGTGGAAAACCACTGGGACCCATGCTTTCTAGGCTCGGAACAAACAGAAGCGTGGACAAACCCTCTGTTGCTCTTCCTCTTGCAGTCTACGGGCCTGATCTTACTCTTTGCTGAGCTGCTGTATGTGAACAGCATTCACACATTTCCAGTTTGGCCTTTACATTATTTGTCATTGCTGATAGGTGGTTGTTGTTGTTGTGAAGAGGAGATATCTGGCAGCAAACTTCATTAATCAGCATTTCAGAGGAATGCAGGGGAGGAATATGCTTTTTCGCAGTTCACTTTCTCTTGTCCTTGCTGATACGAGGTCTTTACACATTCTGGTATGAAAACACAACTCCTGCTTTATCGTTGCCTGAAGACACGATGCAGCTGTGCTCCTGCCACGCAAGCAACTTGAACATTTCCTATGCTGCCTGCTGTTGCAGATGAAAGGGTCATGGGTGCTCGGGATGTTGCCCTCTAACCTTCGTGACAGCAGGTATCAAAACTAGTGTGAAAGCAAAGGAAAGTGTGGCAGAGCCATCACGAGCCACCCCCACAAAACAGAAGGCATCGCTAAGGTGCAGGACTGGGATGAAATCAACCGCATGGCAGGGGAGGTAAGAGGAAGCAAGGTCCCAGACAGCACAGAAGGGAATGGACACTGGTCTCGAGAGACTTCGGATGAGTGGCAAGCCTAGATCAGAGTTTCCCAAACTTGGGTCTCCAGCTGTTTTTTAAACTGCAACTCCCATCATCCCTAGCTAGCAGGACCAGTGGTAAAGGAATGATGGGAATTGTAGTCCAAAACCAGCTGGAGACCCAAGTTTGGGAAGCCCTGATCTAGATGAAGACAGCAGATGGGCGCATGCATACAGGAAGCTGTTAAAGGCAGAAATGATGGGCAAAACTAGATATGAAGCCTCAGTCCGAACAAATATGGGCAGGTGGGAAGCTGGTGGGAAGGCACTGCTCCCATAAAGCAGCTATGTATCCTATAGATAGCATTCCTTTCTTCTCAAGGCTGTCAGAGGACCATCCTCTTTATGAAGGTGTCTTCTGTTCAGTTCAAGTTTGGTTTACAGCAGAGACGGCTAACCTGGTGCCCTCCAGATGTTGGTGGGGTCTGCAGCACCAATCATTCCTGACCTTCAGCCATGCCAGCTCAGCTGATGGGAGCTGGAGTCCAACAGCATCTGAAGAACCACAGGTTAGACTTAAAAATAAAGAAGCCTAAGAAGGGGCCCCCTGAGAACTTTCTCTGATCCCTATAGGGAAAATGTTTGATATCTGTTACATTGTGTGTGAGTTAACAAAGGACTTTCTTCCTCTTCCCTCCCACAGCTAAACTAGGTGAAGGAAATTAAGCAGCTGGAGCAGATAAATAATATGGAATAATTATATGAGTAAAGATAAACTGGAATGAATCCAATAACTAGGAAGGAAATTTGGGTGGAAGCAGGACAATGAGGTGGAGGAAATTATTGTCCTGGAGGAAGTGAAGGGATATGGAGGGTGGCGCTGTTACTGATCTTCTGTAAGCTTTTCATGGGCTTCACTGAGCTTAGAGGCAAAATAACAGCTATATAGAGAGGATGAGGTCATTTTTTAGGTATCCTGGTCCCATACTGAATAGGTCTTGGTGTACTAACACCAGCACATTGAATGTATCCTTGTAGCTAATTGGCCACCAGTGCGAGTTTTTAAGCAGTGCCATAATATTGTTACAAAAGCCCGACGCCTGCCCCCTCTCTCTGCCAAGCAGTGGCCAGAGCGCATGGGTTCACAGGCACATGTACAGTGGTACCTCGGGTTACATACGCTTCAGGTTACAGACTCCTCTAACCCAGAAATAGTACCTCGGGTTAAGTACTTTGCTTCAGGATGAGAACAGAAATCATGCTCTGGCCGTGCGGCAGCAGCAGGAGGCCCCATTAGCTGAAGTGGTGCTTCAGGTTAAGAACAGTTTCAGGTTAAGAACGGACTTCCAGAACAAATTAAGTACTTAACCTGAGGTACCACTGTACAGGGTCTGTGTCTCTTCGGAGAACAGAAGACATGACGGAGGCTGTCGTGCTTTAAGAAATAGGGCTTATTCGCCTATTTACACCTTCCGCCTACATCTTATAGGACGCTTATGAAAGCCTATGAGATGGCTATGAAAGCTGCTAAGAAATCTTACTTTGCAGCTTCCATTGCATCCGCTAGCTCTCGCCTGGCACAACTTTTTAGAATAATTAGATCAATAACGTCCTTAGGACAACCAAATTTAAGCACAAATTCGACCCACAGCTGTGAGGCATTCGTGAGCTTTTTTGCGGAGAAAGTCCTGTTGCTCCGTCGTGACCTCCCTGCCAATTTAGATACAGTGACTGAACTGGAGGCCCCTCGACTGACTTCAGGTCCAGTGTTGGACCATTTCGATCGAATACTCCCTGCTGATGTGGATAGATTCCTCCAAGTTGGTAGGCCCACCACCTGCCTCCTTGATCCGTGCCCGTCTTGGCTGATTAGGGAGTGTCCAGATGTTGCGCGGACCCCCTTGGTTGAAATTATCAATTTGTCCCTTGACACGGGGACATTCCCAGAGGAACTGAAAGAAGCAGTGGTATGTCCACTCTTAAAGAAAACTTCATTAGATCCCTTAGACCTATCCAATTACCGCCCAGTTTCAAATATTCCATATCTGGGTAAGGTAACTGAGAGAGCGGTTGCTGAACAGCTTGGTAGGTTTCTGGAGGAAACATCGGCTTTAGATCCATTTCAGTCCGGTTTCCGTCCTGGTTTTGGGACCGAGACGGCTCTGGTTGCCCTAACAGACGATCTCCGTAGACAGCTGGATCGAGGCGGGTCAAGACTGGTGATCCTTTTAGATTTGTCAGCAGCCTTTGACATGGTCGATCATGATCTTCTGGACCACCGCCTCGCAGACGTGGGGATACTGGGCATAGCCCGTAACTGGCTGTGCTCTTTTATCTCTGGTCGGGGACAGAGGGTGGCACTAGGGAGGGAAATGTCATCGCGCCACTCCTTGGTGTGTGGAGTGCCGCAGGGCGCAATCCTCTCCCCAATGCTTTTTAACATCTTTATGCGCCCCCTTGCCCAGATTATCCAGAGCTTTGGGCTGGGTTGTCACCAATATGCTGATGACACTCAGCTGTATCTGCTGATGGATGGTCACACCGACTCAGCCCCGAACACACTGACCAGATGCTTGGAAGCTGTGGCTGGATGGTTTCGTGGGAGCCAATTGAAACTAAATCCCTCGAAGACAGAGGTCCTATGGCAGGGTCGGGATGGCATGGGGATGAGGGACCAACTCCCTTCTCTTGCGGGGGCCCAATTAGTGCCATTGCCTTCCGTTAAGAGTTTGGGTGTAATCCATGACGCCTCCCTTTCCATGGAGGCGCAAGTTACAGCAACAGCCAAGGCGACATTTTTCCACCTTCGCCGCATCAAGCAGTTGGTCCCTTACCTTTCCCGCCCCGACCTGGCCACAGTGATCCATGCGACGGTCATCTCCAGGCTTGACTACTGTAATTCGCTCTACGCGGGGCTGCCCTTGAAGCTGTCCCAGAAACTCCAGCGGGTGCAGAATGCTGCAGCGAGGCTCCTCACGGGGTCTCTGCCATGGGAGCATATTCACCGAGTGCTTTTCAAGCTGCACTGGCTCCCGGTGGAGTACAGGATCAGATTTAAGGTGCTGCTTTTGACCTTTAAAGCCCTTCACGGCCTAGGACCCTCGTACCTACGGGACCGCCTCTCCCGGTATGCCCCACGGAGAGCCTCAAGGTCCATAAATAGCAACACCCTAGTGGTCCCGGGCCCTAAGGAAGTTAGATTAGCTCCAACCAGAGCCAGGGCCTTTTCAACTCTGGCTCCGGTCTGGTGGAACACTCTGCCTCATGAGACCAGGGCCCTGCAGGATCTGATTTCTTTCCGCAGGGCCTGTAAGACAGAGTTGTTCCGCCTGGCCTTTGACTTGGAGCCAATTTGATTCCCTCCCTCTCTTTCTTTTTTCTTTTCCTTCTCCTCCTGCGATGAGGCTACATTTTAATATTTTAATGTTTCAATATTTTAATGTTGTATTTTTAATTTTGTTTTTAAGTTGTAATCATTTAACTAGTTTTTATTATTGCTTGTAAGCCACTCTGAGCCCGGCCTTGGCTGGGGAGGGTGGGGTATTAATAATAATAATAATAATAATTATTATTATTATTATTATTATTATTACATGGAGGGGGTCCAGATTTTACAACATGGCCCAGAGCATTGCAGGCAGTCCTTCCTTCATGCTCACCAAAGTGGATCTGTCATTTTCTTCTTTCCAGAAGCCCCTTGCCAGAGCAGTTACCCTGGCAACCTTCCAAATCTCCAGTCTCTGGTCACACCTGGGACAAGGAGTTGTTGACGACCCTCGATGGCTGTCTGCCATAACGCTAACAGCTCTGGTCTTCCCTCAGCCAGCCAGACTGGTTTGGGTAAGGCAACCCCTTGTGGCTTATATTCTCCCTTCATATCACAAAGGACCCCAGATCCTAGCATTTGTTAATTTCTAGGGTTTAGGGGGATTCCCGCTATTCAAGCAGTTAAGCCACTGCCTTTTGCACCAGCTTCAGCTTCTGGGTCTGCCTCAAGAGAATCCCCACACAGATAGCCCTGCAAAAACCCAATTTGGAGGGTACCAGATTGTGGCCAGGCTATCACAACCCAGGAAGGGCCATAGCTGCCTTACCAACCAAAGCGGGTAAAAGGCACCGTGAGGCACCGTGCAATTAGAAAGTTCTTCCCAACATCCATCTTAATTGTTCTTCATTTCCTTCCTCCTTATTGAATACCTCCTGTAAGCTCCTGAGTGCATTTGGCATCTGATTTGCCTCCTAGGGGTCTGAGATCTCTCGGTGGTTAGCGTTATCCAACACAATCGGTTCATTTTTTTTATTTTAAAGGAGGATGGCTCTTTTCTTTCATTTACAATGTTTCTACTGCCAAGAGAAAATTCTTTATTTAGAACAGATGAGGCTAGTCCAGTGGTTGATAGCACCTCACATCATTCAGATGGGATATTTTCAGCGTTAATCCACAGGAAATGACAAAAGAATTCACAATAGCCCTTTGTGCCAGACAGGGCAAGACATTTCTTAAGATTTTATTGTTTTGTGTGTATTTTTTGTGTCCATTGATGTGGTTGGCTTTTGCATTTGGATTTTCACACAAAATTTGCAACGGCCATTTGATTTATCTGTCACTTTCAAGGCTCCTCTAGAAAAAAGTGACCAAGGGCTAAGCTAGATGCAATAAATCCTTCCTTTGAGAATCACTGATGTATGGGGATCAAGAGTACTGATGTGTGGGTATTACTATTTACAGTATTATAAACTGATATAAGTAAGTAAACTGAAATAAGAGAAACATCCAATGGGGTTTTTGCATGCCCAGTCACAGTGCTCTCACCCCCGGGATCAAGGTCTTTAAGGGAAGAAGAACTGGACACCACAACAATTTTGGGATTCAATTGGCCACAACTTTATTAATTTCAGATAAAGGAAGCCTTGGCATAGGCACTGGGTGTAAAAAAAAAAGGTAAAGGACCCCTGGACAGTTATGTCCAGTCAAAGGCGACTATGGGGTTGTGGCGCTCATCTTGCTTTCAGACTGAGGGAGCCAGCGCTTGTCCACAGACAGCTTTCCGGGTCATGTGGCCAGCATGACTAAACCACTTCTGGCGCAATAGAACACCGTGACGGAAGCCAGAGCGCACAGAAACACTGTTTACCTTCCCATTGCATTGGTACCTATTTATCTACTTGTACTGGCGTGCTTTCAAACTGCTAGGTTGGCAGGACCTGGCACAGAGCAATGGGAGCTCAGCCCGTCATGAGGATTCGAACCGCCAACCTTCTGATCGGCAAGCCCAAGAGGCTCAATGGTTCAGACCACAGCGCCACCCACATCCCCATTGGGTGTATATCCCTCTCAGCCACTTTATATGGGTGGGGAGTGGACCTGAGTGAAGACTGCTGCACTCCGGCCTACTCTCGAAGTCCCTCCTCCCAGGCTGCAGTCAATTGGCCAAAATTTCAAAAGGGTGTGACAGGAACCCGAACGCTCCGTGGCAGCTGGGGGAGCAACAAACTGCCGCAAACAAGATGGCATTGCTCTGATGTGTGGTAGAGTTGCCGTGACAGGCTCCAACTGCCACCCCCACCCCCCCACCCCCGGATTGTATAAGTGGCCTTTATGACATTAGTAGGACAAATATAGTTTAAGCACATTGCCCATTAAAGGTGCTATAGATCTGATTAATAAAAATAGATCTTTATGTAGTCTAATGCCCAGACATCTGCCTTTTATGATGACTTCTGTCTCTCTGTGGCTGCGAAGCTGCTGTGGAAAGATGTAAGTCACATCTCCCTAAAAATAGTGAAAAGCTAATTTGGAAATTGAACCAATTCCAGACTTTCTCAATTTATCCATAATGATCTTAAGTCCAGATAGGGAGATAGCCTTGTGGTCTTCCTTTGCTCTTAGCTTCACACACCATGATTTCCATTTACAAAACAAAAACCTATTCTTGTAGGCTTCATTATTAGCTTTGGCTTTCATTCCATATTAAAAATAACAAAAACACTCAAGTCATTGTCTAGCCCTTCTCGTTTCTGCAGCAGGATGCACTAGCAAAGGGAGTTGCACACTTACAGAGAAGGAACAACATTGCTGTTAACATTCCCCGCAGGGTATCATAGAATCAGAGAACTGTAGGGTAGGAAGGGACCCTGAGGGTCATCTTGTCCAACACCCTGCAATGCAGACATCTCAGCTAAAGTATCCATCACAGATGGCCACCCAACCTCTGCGTAAAAACCTCCAAGGAAGGTGAGTCCCTCACCTCCTGTGAGAGTCCATTTCACTTTTGAACAGCTCTTACTGTCAGAAAGTTTGTCCTGATGTTTGGTCAACTTGTTTCTTTGCACCTAAGTGTCTGGCTTAAATTTTTGCCCCCTTTCCCTACCTCCTAGGGTGGCGCTGTGGGTTAAACCACAGAGCCTAGGACTTGCTGATCAGAAGGTCGGCGGTTCGAATCCCCGTGACGGGGTGAGCTCCCGTTGCCCGGTCCCTGCTCCTGCCAACCTAGCAGTTCAAAAGCATGTCAAAGTGCAAGTAGATAAATAGGTACTGCTCCGGTGGGAAGATAAACAGCGTTTCCGTGCGCTGCTCTGGTTCGCCAGAAGCGGCTTAGTCATGCTGGCCACATGACCCAGAAGCTGTACGCCGGCTCCCTCAGCCAGTAAAGCGAGATGAGCGCCGCAACCCCAGAGTCGGCCACGACTGGACCTAATGGTCAGGGGTCCCTTTACCTCCTAGTTCAGGGGAAGGGAGTGAAGCGCTCTCTCTCTTTCATTACCATCCTACGCCACACCCTGGAAGCTATAGTTGGGGTATCCATTGTGATGCCTTCCAAAGTTGCTAGACTACAGCTCCCATCATCCCTGGCCATTGATCATGCTTGCTAGGCTGATGGGACTTGGAGCCCAGAAACATCTGGTTCCCCATCCCTACTTGAGATAAAAGCCCAAGTGCTTCCTTACCCTGCCATAACAAACCTGGTCACATGGTCCAGTTGTTCTTGAATACAAGGGGATCCGCAAACTTTAAGGCTCCACCACAACATGAAAATGTTCTGCACATCCAAAACTGACCTGGGTTAGGCTTGGAACTTTCGCCATTCGCGTGCTAGCTTTCCAGAGTCAGGGGACTGTTGGGATGGTGGAACACTCAGTATGTGATTTCCCCCCCTTTGCAGCTCAAGAGTGGTGCAAGGTTAGGCAGTAAAACATTTCGCTCCTCTTCAACAAGGAAACATTTTGTAGCCATGATTCTTTAATTGCTTTTCATCTTTTAGCAAACACGTAGATTCAGAAAAATAAAATTTCCCATTTATTTATTTTTTCATTCTAACTAAAGTGGAGAAGGGTTAAAATGGAAATGCAACTTATTTCTTACGGGGATCAAAGTAAATTCATGGAGAACAAACAGCTTCTTTCCCCTCCCTTGCCCAGCCCTAACCACTTTAGCTTCCTGCAGACTTCTTTATTAGTTTCTGTGAGTAGTCTGTTTCCTATGATGACTGAAGGCAGGGCATCAAACTAGGCTTGGTATCTAGGGTTCTTCACAGTCTTTTATTACAGACGAGGGACAAAATACATTCCAGGATGCTGTCACTATTTTGCGAGGCGGCGGGGATTTGAGCACATATTGGAAAATTAAGTTTGCGCAATTGAAGTGGATTAAAGCAATCTGTCTCCCTAGCATAACAATCCCCTTTTTTATTTTTTAAAGCATGGATATTTGTGGTTAGGAAAGCGACTGGGAAAAGCACTGAAATGTGTGAGATGAATGAATGATTTAATGGGAAGACGTACAAACACCCTGCAATCAAATCTTGAGTAAATTCAGAATGAAAACTCATTGTTGTATAACTGCACTGCGGACGAATCAGAAAGAATGTTCAGTGTTTTTTTAAAAACAACAACAACAACAATACTATTGATTGTTGCAATTATAATAAGGCATGTATCTCAAATATAAAACCACACACAAAAAACCATAAAACAATATTCTGAGACTATATGAGTTGGGAAAAAGATTGCTCAATAAAGGCTCGGTATACTCTTAAGGTCCACATAAACTTTGTGTTTGCAAATAAGGATGGATGCTCCATAAAATAGCTGATCTGGAGGAGTGCCAGTATTCACAGACCATTCTAGATAATACTTGCCTTTGAAACTATGCCTCATCTCTGGCAAGCTAAACCTTCTATAACTTGCAGGACTACATTCCCAGCAGGTGGTGCACAAATGTACAGGAAAACAACAGATTATTTCTAACAAATTATATACGTACAAGCCAGTGTCCTCCCCCAGGATTTTCATAAACAAGTGAAAACACCAGCTATTTGTTTCTTTATTCCATCTCCTTATTACTAAATGAGTGAAAGCTAAAAGTATCTCTGTGTTACCGTCTTTTGCTTAACCTGCAGTTACAGGAAATGGCACCATAACTGAATTTACAGGTGGCTTAGTCCATCAGACCAACTTTTCATTCCTTAGTCATTTCATTCATTATATGGTATACATTATATGGCTTTCCAAACTGCGGGAGACAGTGGAAGACAGAAGTGCCTGGCGTGCTCTGGTCCATGGGGTCACGAAGAGTCGGACACGACTAAACGACTAAACAACAACAACAACAACATATGGCTTTCTATACCTATATCTAGTTATTTCTGACCCGAGAAAGGACCACACTCGCCCAATGAACATCAACTGGAATTAATGGACACCTAGAGTTACTCATATTCCCAGGAACTCATCTTCTTCACAATCCAGCTGTGCTGATGACACAAGCTACTCATTTTTGCCCTGCCTTGCCATAGCTTAGTATGTGAGTTGGGGCCTGGAATTCTGGAGGACTTTGAAGTGCACCTAAATGATCTAAAGATCTAAATGATCTAAAGATACTAAAATCTTTAGTTATGATCTGTTAGACCAGCATTTTACAACTGTGTTTTTAGGGGGAGGTTGTTTCTTGGTTGTTTTTAATTGCTTTGGGTCACTCAGTGAGAAAAGTGACTAACAATTATTATTATTATTATTATTATTATTATTATTATTATTATTAATAGAATCCAAAGAAAAAATAAATGCCACCTTGAAACTAGAAAAGTGCTGTGCGAAAGAGATTCCAACTACCTGTCGGGTGTTGGGTTTCGTTATGAATGTTTCTGTGGTTTAAGTGCCACACATTGGAAATCCCCCATCCCCAAGCAAGGCTGCTTTGCTTAGTTTCACATAGTTTGATGCAGTTATGCTTCTTGTTTGCATTCCCCCATGATTTTTCTTGGCAAAGGAGGGGAGGTCCCCAATTTGTTTTATAATTGTTAGGTTGTGGGTGAACATATTAGACGACACAGCAATTCTTCAAACAGCTCTTGTTTATTCACAGGCCATGACAGAACTGAACTGAAGGGCTCAGACAGCCTGCTTATATAGAGCTCCAGTACCACGTTACTGTAACAACTTTCTAAAACTATCCAATCACTGAATGTCACTTTCAATCCTGCATTTGCATAACTATCTGCAGTATCCCCCTGCTGGCCCAGGGTGAGAACTTCAGTACATAACAATAATTGCCCTCCACCATGGCTGTTCCTATGTGATAGGAAAAGCAGGGAGGGTTTTTATTACTTAATGTTGCTTTTAAAAGCAGCATTTCGAGCTTTTCAGTAACTGAACATGAACTCCCTTCTTCTGGCAAGCGAGCTTATGGAGGGCATTACAAAAATTGGCTTGAATTGCACGTTTTTCTCTGTGCGGTGGTGTGACTTGGGCTAAATGGTTTTGCTAGACCCTTTCAATCCATCCATCTCTTTATTACTGGACCCTATTGCTGGATTTATTACTGGATTCTTTTTGCTGGACTCTAAAATTTGGGTTGAGCCAGGACTGTTGGATGCTAGGAACCAGTTCCTTGCTTTCTATGCCTCTAGAATAATGATCAAAAGAAGGAACGTCAGATGCTTGGAGGCAGCCAACAGGAATCTCTGATCAGAACTTGGAGGTTGGTAATTCTTGGGAAGCCAAAACACACCATTTATGTAATTCCTGCAGCATACTTCATTTCCTAAGTCTGAGCAGCTTGTCTCAGAATGCAGCGTCTCAGGACCACTTCTCTATCTCCCCTTGTGTCTGCCCCTACTTGTAATCTCCTGGTATGCCCCGCGGAGGACCTTAATAAGGTCCACAAATAATAACACTTTGGAGGTCCCGAGCCTCAAGGAGGTTAGATTGGTTTCAACTAGGGCCAGGGCCTTTTCAGCACTGGCCCCAACATGGTGGAACGCTCTGTCACAAGAGACTAGGGCTCTGCGGGACTTGACATCTTTCCACAGGGCCTGCAAGACAGAGCTGTTCGCCTAGCCTTTGGTTTGGACTCGGTCTGACCCTTATGTTTCCCTCCCCTTATGGTCTTGATTTATCAGCTACTTTAAAATGAGGCTCCATTTTAAATTGCATTTTAACCTGTGTTTTAAATTGGTTTTTCCCCTTCTTCTCCCCCCCCTTTTCCCCCTATTATGTTTTTACTGTGATTTTATTGGTGTTAGCCGCCCTGAGCCCAGCTCTGGCTGGGAAGGGCGGGATATAAATAAAATTTATTATTATTATTATTATTATTATTATTATTATTATTATTGATTCCTGTACCTCACTTCGCCCTCTTACCTAACACATCTGAGAAGCATAGCTATGGCACATGCTGTTCTTGAAGGAGGCCCCAGGTCCGATTACCAACATTTCCAGTTAAGAGAGTTTGGGAAAGGCCCCATCCTAAACCCTTGAAGATCTGCTACCAGGCAGAATAGGCAGCCCTGGGCTAGATAGATGATCCGATTCAGTAAGAACAAGGGTGAGGATGTGGACAGGCTGCTTGGACGAGTGAAAGCAGCCACCTGCCACCTTGATCCTTGCCCATCCTGGTTCATAAAAGCAAGCCAGGCAGGGCTGGGCAATGGGCTTTGCGGGGTGGTGAATGCTCAGTCCATTGAAGCCTGTCTTTGAATGCAGGGGAAGTCCCTAACTCACTGAGAGCTTGAAACCCATCAGCTACCCTCACCTGGTTTAGCCGGCCAGTCAAAGCCGTTCCCGGACTGTGGCCACTTGCAATGCTGGACTACATCTCCCATCATCCCTGACCATTTGCCATACTGGCTGGGATTGATGGGACCTGGAGTCCAGCAACCTCTGGAAGGCTACAGCTTCCCTTCCGCTCTTCACACCAGTGCAGCTAACAGAGTAAGCATGACGCAGAGGTGATTCTACATTAGGTAGGGTTTTGTGTGAGTGCTTTAAGAAAATGCCTGATTACCCAGAGTATCTCTATAAACACTGGGGAATGTAGCAGTGCAAATGGTACAACGCTGCTTGTCAGCACTCTTAATTACTGTGCTCGGAGTTAAAATAAATTAGTTTACATGGAGTTACAAGTTTGTGTGGTTGCCATCATTATGACTTTCTGATAAGCGTTTGGCCCCTTTTCTCGAATCCGTAATGCCAGTGATTTGAGGTTTCGTTTATTCAGTGTTTATTCAGAAGGAGACGTCTTGAGGGCTAACAGCTTAATCAGTGGCTTGTGGGGATAAAAATTAAGATGAAGTGGGGGGAGAATCTTGGGGCTTTTGTGGTTTTTGGCAGCAAACTGTAAACATTTCTTCATGGACAAGAGCTGAGTATGAAATTTTACTGCGCAGTTTTAATGAGGGAGATCTCAACCATTTTACTGCCCTTTTCCGTAGCTGTCTGAATGCAATGACAAAGACCTGTTTGTAAATCTATGCCACTGGACATTTTTTTTGTAGGCAGGGTTGTAAAAAGTGTTTTCAGCTGTTTTGTTTATTGGATCTTGTCTTTTGGTTAAAAAACAAAACAAAGGTTTCTTTGCTGTGCAGAATTTCAGTATGTAACTCGGTGTGAAATGACAAGAGACCAGTGGAGGTCTGCATTGCTAAAATCCTTGCACTGACTTGAAGATGATGCTTGCGACTAATCCCTGGTAACCGCAAAATGTTCATTTTGGCTGCTAGCATGTACCATGCTCATATCAAATTCTGTGCTGACCAGCATAGGGCGATAGAACGTCAGCCATTCTGAAATATTGTATAGCAAGTTTTTTAGAGAATGGTTAGGTTGACAGTAGTCAAGGGGGGGAGGGAGAGAGTGGAGGTGGTGGAGATGGGAAACCCCAGCTAAGGGATTGTTTAAATGACAATTTGCCATTAGTTAAAAACCTCTGCTGGCTTTCTGAAATGTTGCCTTCTGCAGATGTTTCAGTATTGAAATGGCTAATCTCATGCCTTTTGGTTCATGCCTTGCTATGATTCTGGCCTTTGCTGTGCTGCTCATTTTATGTTGGTGTGGGGTAGCATTTGTACTTTTAATACTATTATTGTATGCACACTTTTTAGAATTCGGCGATCACATTTCGTTTTCCTTGTTAATCTGGTTTTTAACTAATTTTAGCTGTTTTGTATTTTATGGTGCTGTAAATAGTTTTGATGCTTCCCCCCCCCAAACAGCAATAAATACATTTATTATTATTTCTTGTTTATTATGTATAACTCTTTCTGGAATATGGTTAACTTTGTTACGTAGGCCACTACAAAGTATTGTTCTTATGTTTGCTTTATTATATCTTTTTTTGTAGTTCTATCATGTACTATTTGTTGTTGTTGTTGTTGTTGAATTAATATGCTGTTTATAGCTTTGGGGGCCTTTGAGCCCAAAAGTGGTATATAAATATACAGCAGCAATAATTCTGTTCGCTAAGCAATTAACCACAGCATCTAGTTGTAAGGAATACAGTACTAGGGATTTTGGCAGTGATGTTTATTTAACGAAACATGCAGGTAACTTAAATGTTCCAAAAACGGCATTCCAAACAGAGGTGGTGTATCAAAAGATAAAAAGCTCCAATATAAAAAAAATATTTTTATATATACCTCCCTCCTAGTTAGCTGCAATATACACACAGCTAAAATCAGCCATTTTCTGGGAAATTTAACTTGAGGTATGCGGTGTTTGCTGAGTGCAATGAGTGATCTGTAAGATTTGTAAAGGCTTTGAGTGTGATCAAATAATGAAAATATACACACTGTATTATTCTATCAAGGAGGTGATATTTGGCTAGCATACTGAGAAACAACACTTCGCCACCTTCAACTGCTAGTTTTGTAAACTTGGCCACCTGGGAGTATGCATGATCCCATACTGGGGAGTTCCTTGCCTGGGGCTTTTTGTAAAGTTCATTAGCACAGATTGGATTCCTGAGAAATTTAACTTTTATTGTTTATTAGTTTCTAGCCCTTATGGGTATGGAGGAGATTTAATGGGTGAAGGTGGTAAAAATACAGCAAAGGTGGGGGTGGGGGGGAGGGGAATCAAGTAAAAAAAAAGAAAGAAGCCATATTAATTATGCACACAATCCAGCACTTCCTTGCTGAAACTTTCTGGTTGAAATGTGTCTTAAAATGTGTTTAAATTTCACTGGCTCAGATTTATACAGCCATATATACCAAGTCTTTTTGAGGGCTTTATCACATTCAACTTCTGTATTTGGAGGTTAAAACCAAGAATATTTTAGAATCTGTTCAAAATGCAATCCAGCAAATTGTGTCAGTTTTTGTACAACATGCAGACCAACCATGGTACATTCTGGCTTATTATATTTGTTTTTGTTTACAGATGCAACAACCCATGGGCTTTGTAGCCTTAAAACTGTTCAAACGCTTTGCTGCTCTTGCTCATAGATATTTTGCCGTAGTAAATTGCATTTGTTAGCACAGAGTTTCATGGGATTATGAGATACAGTTGGCATGAAAAGGTTAGAATTTCCCTAGGGTTTAGCTGGGAGCGAAGAATATACAGGGAATGAATACTCCCTGCAATTTCTTTTAATTGAAGAATTATCTTCATGTACTTTTTCATGGTGCAAAATTTCACTTGCATGCCCTATTAAAATGCCTTCTTCTCAGTGGGTTGGTCTTAACTAAAAAACAGTGTTTAATTTTATACAACATTGCCCATTACTAGCTGTCCTTCTTCATTTGCCTCTTGCTGCAGAAGCAGTTGACTACACAATCCGTACTTTAAGGATCTGAAACAATGACTCCCCTGTTAGGCTGCATGTTTGTGCTTTACTCTTCATTATTATCCACCCTCCTGGTATAATGGAAATTGTTCAAGCATAATCAGAGACTGATTTTGTTCAGAATATTGTTGTCTGCATTGGCATAAAATGCATTTGACTGATAACCTGGTTTCATTGTTTACCCACATTGGGATGGTTTCCATCATTAATGTGACTGCCACAGTTCCTTTAGTATGTTGAACAATTAAAACAGTCCCTTCTTGGCTAAAGTTTACTTATTACATTCTATACATAGGTAGGCAATTCAGAAGAGATCTGCAGTAACCAAAAAAACAAAGCACCATTCTAAATATTGATGGTCTTGGCCAGAATAGACAGTTTGGTTGCCATAACTTACACACATGGTAAGCTATTCATGTAAACAAAATTCTCCTGTTAGACGATACCTTGCAGTTCCTTGCCTTGTTACGCAAGAAAGTTTGGCACATTTCAGATGTCATAATTTAGTGAATTTAAACTTGTATAACATATGGATGGAAAACATGCAATAGGACCCAGGCTATTTTAATGTGGAAAGCATGCAGACATTGATTTCATGGATGAGGCTTTCACAAATAAATTGCATAGGGCTACACCGTAAAACAGGATTGCCTGGAGCAACCTTTCCCAACCTGTCCAAACATTTTGGACTACAGCCCAGATATTTCAGACCTCAGCTCCCACCACCCTTGGCCATTGGCCATGCTAGCTGGCTAGTTGTGGTTCAGTACTGTATATCTGGAGGAAGCAGTGCCCTTCTGGCTTGGTCCTGTTTGTGGGTCATTGGAAAAGGAGTTTTGAAATAAAAATTTGCAGGGTCCCAGTATCCACACCTGAATCCGTGAACATAAGCTGATAACTTCGGTGCAGGTGCAAGAGTGGTAGGAAGCAGAGCAGTGTGTCTGTTAGCCTTCTTGCTAGAATGTGCATTTGATCGGTAATAATGCCTTCTTTCCTTTTTAAAAAAATAATTTTTATTGAATGATTTTATGTTACAAAAAGCAATACAGCCATACTACCACTAAATATAATTAAGAAATAGAAATTACATACATCAATATTTAGTTTGTTATTTGTTATTTACCGTCTTATTTCCTCCCAAACATTGCATACAAAAACACACATATGTGTCTGCAAATAATGCCTCTTGCTTTCCTGAATGGAGAATGGAGGCATGTGTGTGCATGGAAACTTCTGAATTTTGCACAGTAGAAATATAGCATACTGTGCACCCACTTTTTGCTCCTAGACCTACCCATGTCGCATGTGGACTACATCTCCCATCATCCCCGACCATTTGCCAAGACTGGCTGGGATTAATGGGAGCTGGAATCCAGCAATCTCTAGAGGGCTGCAGCTTCCCTTCTGTTCTTCACATCAGAATCTGCACAGTGCCGCTAATGTAGTAAGCATGGGCCAGAGGATTTTCTACATTAGGTAGGGTTCTGTGTCAGTGCTTTAAGAAAACGCCAGTTTACCCAGGTTATCACTAGACACTGGGCTTCCTGTTGATGAAGCCTAACACTTCCAAGAGACAGAACTGGGCTTTTGCTCCTTTGCAAGCAAAGGATTGCAAGCAATTAGTGCCCGTGAAAAAAAATAAGATGACAAATAAAGAGCTTTTTACTCCGCAAGGCTTTTGTGGGTAATTGGTAGCTGCTGTATTGATCTGTTTTCTGCTTTACTCACGTTTATATTTTATACTGCTTCATGCTGGTACAGCTACTTAATGGTTTAATTGTGTTATTATTATGTCATGATGCTTTTTTATTGTTGTCTACCACTGTGAGTATTTTAATAGAAATGTGGCTTATAAATATTTTAAACAGGTAAGTGAATGCCTGCCTTATTTATGGTTAAGCAAGCAATTTCAAGGCACCCCCTCTTCCTTCTTATCATTCTTCATCTTTAAAAGAGACAGGACAGCCCTTTGAGGACTTGGTCAAACATATGCTTATCTTCTGACAGCCCTTCAAATAGAAGGAGAGAGCTCAGAAAGAGGAAGAGTCAGGCTTCAACTGGCTTAACTGGTCATTAATTCTCCAGAGAGAGCCCAGGCAAGTTCAATTTTGCAAGGAGAATTGTCCCAAAAATGTAGTTCCCAGGATTCTTGGGTCAGGGGAACCCTGACCATTAAACTGATACAAAACCACATTTGTAGTTTAGATGTGAGCAGAGAGAAGAATTCAAATGGGTAAACAAAAATACAGCAGGTATCAGTCAGACCATTCCTTTGCTGAAGCTTAAAAATAAAACCAGCCATCAGAAATTACTTAATAATATGTAGGCAGTGGGAACCCTTAAAAAAACCACTGAACATATGGATCAATCCACTCAAAGCCAAATAATGAACAATACACCATTGAATGAATAATATCCCACTGTCTTACAAGAAAGGGCAATCTGACTTACATAAAGCTTCCTTTAAAGGAGACCATATGCCCAAATATAATGAAAAAGGGTTCAGCTCCATAAACTTGATCTCCTTCAGAATCTCATAAAATGCATTCCGAGAGGTTGGAAGTCCTTTATGCTATCTTGATCCCAGTGACCTCTGGAATAGCAACAGTAAGTATATCTATGTCACAGATCATCTGGCTACTCTTCCAAGTACAGCGGTACCTCGGGTTAATAACTTAATTCGTTCTGGAGGTCTGTTCTTAACCTGAAACTGTTCTTAACCTGAGGTACCACTGTAGCTAATGGGGCCTCCTGCTGCCGCCACATGATTTCTGTTCTCATCCTGAAGCAAAGTTCTTAACCCGAGGTACTATTTCTGGGTTAGTGGAGTCTGTAACCTGAAGCATCTGTAACCTGAAGCGTCTGTAACCCGAGGTACCACTGTAGTATGTATGTGCCCCTCATTGTTTTTTTGGCTTCATATTCTTGTTCTTGGTTCATTTTGGGCTGGGTGGGGCTGGGGTGGAAGGTTGAAGGCCACTCCAATTTCCCCCCCCCCAGCTCCATCCAGCCTGGTATCTTTATTTATCCCATCCCCATCCTCTGTGAAGCTCCTTTTTATTTAGACAGTTTAGGCTGAAGCCAGATTAGACATGACACTAAACACATCTTTCCATCTAATATGTAGGTACTTCCTTTTGCTTTTTGTTTTAAAATGCAAACTGCATCAGCCATGGCTGATAATTAATGGCAATTGGAGAGGAATTTTAACCCTTCCTTTCGCTTCCATGCTGCAGGTCTGAGGAAGATCCTTCAACTGAATCTAGTATTTGCATAAGGGGGGGGGTCCCTTCCCCAAAAGCAAATGCCAATGACAGAAGGGATTGCCTTTTTGGGAGGGAGGAATCCCCAAAACATTCCAGTGAGACCTGGGGATGGTCAGTGGCCGCAGAATGCTGTGGGATCTGTATGTGGAAAATTAGGAGGGATGAGGAAATGGAATGAAAGATTCTGGACTGGAACCCAGAACAGGAACATTCCAATTGCGGGTCTTACTTGTTCCAAATATTTCCAATTTAGATTTCTGAAATTTAGCTTTGAGAGATTCTTGTCAGAAATGTTGTGGCTGCATTATAAGGCAGTAAGTACAGTGGTACCTCAGGTTAAGAACTTAATTCGTTCTGGAGGTCCGTTCTTAACCTGAAACTGTTCTTAACCTGAGGTACCACTTTAGCTAATGGGGCCTCCTGCTGCCACCGCGCCACTGCTGAACGATTTCTGTTCTCATCCTGAAGCAAAGTTCTTAACCCGAGGTACTATTTCTGGGTTAGCAGAGTCTGTAACCTGAAGTGTCTGTAACCTGAGGCACCTGTTCTACTATATCAACTTGACTAAATCCAGTATTTTTACCCCTCACCTTCAAACCCCCACATCCAACTTTTCCAATACTTAGGAAAAAGTAATGATTAGGAATATATATATATATATTCAGATTTGTTGTGGGAAAAGGGTGCATAAGCAAATAGGGCACAGAAGGATTTGATTGAAATACATATAGGCACATGCATGAGCACACATGCAAACATATTGGATGATATTCAAGTAAATAATTGTGCCGGCACAGTAATTTCTGCCCATGGAACTGGGTGGTCTCCCCTTTCTGCCTCCCCCCCCATGTGTGTGACCTGCACGGTTCCTAAACCTGCTCCACCGGGGCGGAGGGGGGGGGAGAGAATCCTGAACAAATTTAGAGGGCACACGGGTGGATGAGAGGGGGAGAAAGTTCTATTGCACAATGAGAACTCCTATGTTGAATATAACCCATTTGTTGCAGCTCAACAAACAGCCCAGGAAGGAACAACCAAGTTAGCTATGCAAGACACTACAGGAAAAGTAAAAAGTAAAAAAAAAAGAATAATAAAGAGAGCCTGAGGGAAGAGAGAAATCGGTAAATCTAATCTGAGGGGTCTTTTCTGGCCTCAAATATGGCAGTGACCCAGGACGTTGTTTCTCACAAATCCCCAAGTCAACACTCATTGTGTTGACTCTTCCTCTTCATCGCTTTGTAAGTAGAATGCAATAGTGCAGCTTTGCAAACAAGATTTCAGTATAGATAAGTTGGATCTGTACATTTGGGAGGTGGGGTGCGGGAAAAGTGTGATACAGCACTTTAGGAATTGTGCTTCTTCAGAATGCATATTTTATTGCCATTTTACAGTAGGCTAACTGAGGCTTTGAAGCGGTTTCGTTGAGGCCTCTTGGTAGCCCATTACCAAGATTATACTTCAGACTCCCTTCTTGCAATTTGAAATATCTTTCAACCCACTGAATTAGGCTTCATTTGAGTCTCTTAAAATTGCAGGAACATTCCTTTTCAATTTAAATCTAATCTGTTTGAATGTTCAGGAACATTGTGCACTGGCTATAATATCTAAAAAATCTCAAGCACTTCATATAGTTATTTTCTTGGACAAATTGTCTGGTTGTTTTAATTCTGACATTGTCAAACCCTTCAAAAATGCCTTGTCCAGCCAAACCAAAACACGCATCCCTCCCAAATGCAGGGAGTCCAAATCCTTCCACACTCGTGACTGAGAATCACTAATTTTAGTGTCGGCTGAAGTTCAAGATATCTTTCACATCCCTGCAAGCGCATAAGCCCTGGTCCAAATCCTGTCACTGTGATTTGTGTTTAGAGGAATCTGCAAGCCGAGAATTAATCGTCCTTTAAAACATGCGTGATTTTTGTTAAGTCGTGCAGCCAACAGAGAAGCTGTGGCTTGGTATGGGATTGTGGGTGGCTAGAGAAACCACACACAAGAGCCCCATTGAAGCAGCTCATGAGCTTTCCAGAAAGAAGAGTGGAATCAGAAGTTTTAGGGGTTTTTTTAAAGGGCCACTTAAACCTCCCCATGTTAAGAGCTAATTTTCTTGCAATCTGGCTTCAAGGTAGAATACAGTGGTACCTTGGTCCTCAAACTTAATCCGTTCCAAAACCAAAACGTTCCAAAACCAAGGAGCACTTTCCCATAGAAAGTAATGCAAAATGGATTAATCCGTTCCAGACTTTTAAAAACAACCCCTAAAACAGTAATTTAACATGAATTTTACTATCTAACGAGACCATTGATCCATAAAATGAAAGCAATAAACAATGTACAGTGGTACCTCGGGTTAAGTACCGTATTTTTCGCCCGATAGGACGCACTTTTTCCCCTCCAAAAATGAAGGAGAAATCTGTGTGCTTCCTATGGGGCGAATGCAGGCTTTCGCTGAAGCTTGGAGAGCAAGAGGGGTCGGTGCACACCAACCCCTCTCACTCTCCAGGCTTCAGGAAGCTATCAGCAAGCCTGGGGAGCCCGTGGGAGTTCCCGCAGGGCTCCCTAGGCTGCGGATAGCAGCCTGCTGCCCGGAGCGCGGGGCGCGCTGAAGCCGCGGCTGGGGGGGGAATAAATTTTTTTTCTTTATTCCCCCCCCAAAAAAAACTAGGTGCGTCCTATGGGCCGGTGCGTCCTATAGGGCGAAAAATACGGTACTTAATTTGTTCCGGAGGTCCGTTCTTAACCTGAAGCACCACTTTAGCTAATGGGGGCCTCCCGCTGCCGCCACGCCGCCAGAGCACGATTTCTGTTCTCATCCTGAAGCAAAGTTCTTAACCCGAGGTAATATTTCTGGGTTAGGGGAGTCTGTAACCAGAAGCGTATGTAACCCGAGGTACCACTGTACTGCGGTCACACAGTCAATCAATCAGTAGCTGAACTGGGTTCCACACAGTCACAAAAACAAAACAAAAAAGCTACAAACATGCAAAATAAATAGCAAAAACAGACAGCGCAACATTCAAAACGGAAGCTTGGCACTCAAAACGGAAGCGTAACACTCAAAACGAACACATTCGGCTTCCGAAAAAGTTCGCAAACCGGAACACTTACTTCTGGGTTTGCAGTGTTTGGGTTCCAAGTTGTTTGAGTACCAAGAACCAAGGTACCACTGTACATGTTTTGTATGCAGAATGCCATCAGTTCAGTCCTGGCTCAATCCAGTGAAAAAGATCAGGTAGCAGATTATGGGGATACTAAAGTCAGTGTGACAGTGCTGCACCAGATGAAGCGATGGCCTGACTCAGAAATGTTTGAAATCAATTAATATGCACCATGTTCATGTTAACAGCTTGAGCAAACAATTAGTAATATATTCATGTTTGAGGTTAATAGTAGAAATGTGTTGTGGTCGTAACTTGAACAACTGTGTTACTTGCTGGGAATGGAATAAACTTTTTGCATATGCTCAGAAGCACTTTTTTCTGATTACTGTCTTTGAGAGCATGTGACTGGTTTGAGCCTTATAGGGCCCTGACACGCCAGTGACTTCTTAGCTGATGCAGTTACATAAACAGCTAGCTTTCTGGAACAGTTTGAGCAGGATACCAAAAATACAGCAGGTGTTGAAATTTCAGTTTTGGCAAATGGCAAACCTGGCGTAAGATTCTCTCAATGGTTTTGTGGCCACTCTAATGTAAATACCTTTCGGTCTTAGCTGTTTGGCTCTAGCCACTCAGGAACTATTATGCCTATTTAATTTCCTTTTAAAAGAGTCTCTGGTTGTGAAATAAAGCTTAACAAAAATGCCCCAGTGTAATCTTTCCTTGACCGCCCCAAAGCCAGAGGAGGAAATTATAGGAATCTAACACATACTTGATATATTACACAATGGCCTGTTGTTTCCAAGTGGTTGTCTTGTTATATTTTTAGGAGGACTGACTCAGGATTTCTGAGTATTTGGAATTGGCTGAATCATCTCTGCCAGAAGATAGGCACCCAGTGCTTTTATAGTACATTAGTTTGACTCCTGAGCCTTGCAATGACATTACCATTTCTTTTGAGACGCAGTGTGTGGAGAGTGAGATTGCACATTTTAGCCACTAAAGTAAGACACAGTGAAGTTATTGTCTAGCGCAGTGTGACCCCCTACACAGCCTAAAAAGCTTGTTCTTGAACGGGACATCATCCTGCTCTGTGACTGCATGATTGCAAGCTACACATTTAAGTGTAGCCAGTGTGGTGTAGTGGTTAAGAGCGGTAGTCTTGTAATGTGGGGAACCGGGTTCGCTTCCCTGCTCCTCCACATGCAGCTGCTGGGTGACCTTGGGCCAGTCACACTTCTCTGAAGTCTCTCAGCCCCACTCACCTCACAGAGTGTTTGTTGTGGGGGAGGAAGGGAAAGGGGAATGTTAGCCGCTTTGAGACTCCTTAAAGGGAGTGAAAGGCAGGATATCAAATCCAAACTCTTCTTCTTCTTGTTTCAAAAGAGGCTCAGTAGCCTTTTGTCACATCACCCTATGAGTCCACTTGGCCCAGCACAGTCTGCTCAGCCTGGCTATCCTTTCCAAGGTTTCTGGAAGTGATGGGTCTCCCAGCTCTGCTTGCCTGACTCCTGGAACCTTTATAGCAAGAGATGCCAATAGTACAGCAAATCTTGGGATTTATTTTATTTGAATGGATTCCCACTCCCTTGTCCTGGAGCCACAGGGTCAGTAAACAACAGACTGGATACTCTCGATGGTGGTGGTGGTGAAACATATCCAAAAAAACCACACCCTGTTAGCATTTAAGAAGAGTTTGGATTTGATATCCCGCTTTATCACTACCCTAAGGAGTCTCAAAGCGGCTAATGTTCTCCTTTCCCTTCCTCTCCCACAACAAACACTCTGTGAGGTGAGTGGGGCTGAGAGACTTCAGAGAAGTGTGACCAGCCCAAGGTCACCCAGCAGCTGCATGTGGAGGAGCGGGAAACCGAACCCGGTTCACCAGATTCACCAGATTACAAGACCACCGCTCTTAACCACTACACCACACTGGCTTTAATTATTATTCCAATTATTGCATTGCAGGGGGTTGGACCCTGGGGGTCCGTTCCAACTCTACAATTCTATGTACCGTATTTTTCCGTCTGTAAGACGCCCCCATGTATAAGACACCCCCTATTTTGGGGGACTCAGATTTAAGAAAATGGGGGAAGATGGCCCAGAGTATAAGACACCCCCCTAAATTTTGACATTATTTTTTAGGGGGGGGGACTAGTCTTATACACCAAAAAATACGGTAAATACCTAACCACCAGTCAACCGCAGTCTTCAGCCAGATTCACCCACACTGCTGGAAACGTAAACATATGGAGGCGAACACACACAACAAGCCAGTTTGTGCTGCAGGTAGCAATAGGCACAGAATGGCTTTATTTTGAGATGAGTCAGGGCACAGCGTCCCTCACTGAGTTCTTTCTAGCAAGTTTACAGGAAAGCTCTGTGAGCTTCAACTCCTGTCATGCAAAACATGAATTTTTTGTTCTGACTGGACTTTAAACATCCCACAGTAGCCGCCTTGTGATAAGGCAGCATGCATACAAAACACTTGTTACAATGAAGTGGCAAAGGTGGTTCAGTACATAGGCTTTCAACTTCCATGTACAGTGGACGCTCGAGTAGCGAACGTGATCCTTGTGGGATGCACGTTCGCAACCCGCAGCGCCGCATCTGCGCACGCATGGGTTGTGATTTGGCGCTTCCGCGCATGCGCGGCCGCCGAAACCCAGAAGTAAACCATTCCGGTACTTCTGGGTTTCAGCGCGTCTGTAACCTGAAAAAAACGCAACCTGAAGCGGCTGTAACCCAAGGTATGACTGTACAGTGGTACCTCGGGTTAAGTACTTAATTCGTTCGGGAGGTCCGTACTTAACCTGAAACTGTTCTTAACCTGAAGCACCACTTTAGCTAATGGGGCCTCCTGCTGCTGCCATGCCGCCAGAGCACGATTTCTGTTCTCATCCTGAAGCAAAGTTCTTAACCTGAAGCACTATTTCTGGGTTAGCGGAGTCTGTAACCTGAAGCGTATGTAACCCGAGGTATCACTGTACAGGATTCAAAAGCTCAGTACAGACAGCTTTTTATAGCAGTGAAAGGAGTTACAAGTCATTCCCTCTCTTGTCTCTATGGGTCTTGAACACCTTGTATGTATTCCATTGATCCTTGTGCCAGAAAACGTCTGGTGGATTGGGCCCTGCGTTAATTGTCAGAGAGGCTGCAGTTTGTATTTTCTACCTAAGGCACCCAAGTATCTCAGCCATGTGTTGGAACATTCATCGCATTATCAAAAGAGTTTGCTTTTTAATTCAAATATTATACTTTTCTTTTTTTTTAAGATAACCATTAATATGTTTTCCTCTTTAGCATCTTTCCAGCATGTGTAGCAGGATCCCTAGCAACAAACAACCTCTGGTTGAACACATCTAAATGTAACCTTGGCTCAGTCATTGCAGTGTAGTAACACTCCATAATTCTCCATTAATATTATCTTCCTAAAATATCATTTTTAAGATGTTATCAGTACTGGGAGCTGTTCATAGGGGGGGGGATATGGGGGGGGGAAATATGTTCATAATGACTTTTCTATCTGCAGCATATGTTGCTATCATCCCCATGAGTAATAAACATTTGCTTGGCTGGAGAAGAAACGTTCGCTCACTCAAACCACTCTTGCTTGTTCTTCCCCCCTTCCTTTCTCCCTTCTCCTCTCAACCAGCTTATTAAACTGGTGCACTTAATTTCAGAATTGTTCAGCTTTAATAATGCCCTTCCTTAAAACAATGGAGCAGGCATATAAAGGGAGAACAGCATCTGGATCTCTCCACTTATATATTAGTAGCCACACATGAAATGTTTTCTTTACTTCCTTTATGGAGCTCTTAAATAGCTCACATTAAAAAGTCAGTCCAAATTACTCCTGTTGATGTTAGCAAATGTTTCTGGTTTCTTTGCTTTTTTTTAAAAAAAAGAAAACTATTCTAACCCAGACCTCATTGGTTTGGTATGTTCTAGTTAGGTTTTCAAAATCATATAGTCTCATAGCTTGTTTCTCCACATTGGACTGCACCAGAACATCAGTAGAGATCGTGACATCGCAACCCCTGCTGTGCTCCAGACTCTGCATGTCCCGGACCCAGGGTAGCAGTAATAATAATAATAATAATAATAATAATAATGATAATTTATTTCTACCCCGCCCATCTGGCTGGGCTTCCCCAGCCGCTCTGGGTGGCTTCCAACAAAAAATTTAAAATACCGTATTTTTTGCTCTATAAGACTCAGTAACGGGAAATGTGTGTGCATCTTATGGTCTGGTGCGTAACGGGAAATGTGTGTGCATCTTATGGAGCGAATGCAGGCTGCGCAGCTATCCCAGAAGCCAGAACAGCAAGAGTGATTGCTGCTTTCACTGCGCAGCGATCCCTCTTGCTGTTCTGGCTTCTGAGATTCAGAATTTTTTTTTCTTGTTTTCCTCCTCCAAAAACTAGGTGCGTCATGTGGTCTGGTGCGTCTTATAGAGCGAAAAATACGGTACATTAAAACATCAGTCATTAAAAACTTCTCTAAACAGGGCTGCCTTCAGATGTCTTCTAAATGTCATATAGTTGTTTATTTCCTTGACATCTGATGGGAGGGCGTTCCACAGGGCGGGCACCACTACCAAGAAGGTCCTCTGCCTGGTTCCCTGTAACTTCGCTTCTTGCAGTGAGGGAACTGCCAGAAGGCCCTCAGTGCTGGACCTCAGTGTCCGGGTTGAACAATGGGGGTGGAGACACTCCTTCAGGTATACTGGGCAGAGGCAGAATCTAGCAACAATAGATGGCAGAATCCTAGTCATTATATTAGCGCAGACATAAATTCTATTGTAATCATTTCAGAGGAAATGGGTGTGAGTAGCAACAAATAACACAGAGACCTCAGCCTGCAAGTCTTGTTTGGAGGATTTGGAGTTGGGAGGTGTCTTCCGGCTCACCTGGTCCAACATCCTGCTTGATGCTGGAAATACATAGCTAGAGCATCATCAGTGGAAGGCTGCCCAGCTTGAAGACCTCCAGGGACACGGAGACCACCTCGCCCTCAAGGTCATTGCTGTCCGTAATGTTCAGCTGGAATCTGCAGTCCTGCAGTTTATCCCCATCTGATCCTGCACTCTGAGATAAGAGTGCAGGATCAGATGGGTGCAGGATCAGATAAGAGAAAAGATAACATCTTCTGTCTTCTGTGAGATTTTTGAAGGAGCACAGGGATCTGAACCTAGAAACTCAAGAGAGGAAAACCAGCCACACTATCAAGGAAATACCAATTGGGAAAGTGATAGCTTCCAGGTAAGGCTTGCTTACTGACCCAAACGACAAGGGAGGCTCTGCTGCTGCTGCTTTTACTTCAGAAAGCCCTGCCTTATACTTCGCAGAATCTGAAGCTGACAGCAGTGCTGCTTCCTTGTCCTTCCTGCCACCAGCTTACTAACTGATAGTCATTCCTATGTGAAACTATACACGGAAATCATTAAATGAAAACAAACAGATGTGCTTTAATTATTTTGGCATGGCGGTGATGTGGCATAGTCAGTATCCAGAGAACTTTTAAGTGATCTGCACTCCCGGTAAGACTTTGATTTACTTTTTAGTACGGCTGTCTCCTGCAGCACGTAGCAAGCAGCTTTTAAAACTCAGAACCATTTCACACAAGAATTCGCTCTACGGTATGGCAATGAGCTGTTGTTCCAAGAAATAAAAAGCCAAACTGTGCGGTAATGTTAATTGTCTGAGTACAGACACTTAGCATACAATCCGCACACGAGAGAAGTATCAGTGTGGTCAGGTGAGCCCCCAAGATACAAAAAATAGAGAGAGAAAACACTAAGTGGGTGAGGGGAACCTCCTGAAGTATCCCAATGAGGAGAGAATGTGCTCAGTCAGCGTGGAATGCTGACTTTGACTGCTGGAAGACAGAAAACGTGGGGAGAAAGAGAAATGGAATACCTAAAAAGGCATGGTTGAATACCTAAAAGCACAGAACAGGAGCACTCCCTACTGCAAAGTTTTGTTGCAAGTTCCACTTCTAACTCCTCCTGGAGATTGTGCAAAAAGCCTTCAGTTCCACTTAAAGGAGGTCTCTAGAAAGTGACCTGTGTAATTGGCATATATTAGCCTTTGCCCTCCAGACATCATAGACTTGTAGAATTTTAGAATTGGAAGGAATCCTGAGGGTCATCTAGTCCAACCTCCTGCAATGGAGGAACTTTCACTAAAGCATTTTAGATGACAACTCCCATCAGTCCCAGTCAGCAAAAAAAAAAAAAAAAAAAAAAAGGTAAAGGGCGGTCAAGTTCAGTCAAAGGCGATGATGGGGCGCAGTGCTCAACTTGCTTTCAGGCCAAGGGAGCTGACGTTTGTCCACAGACAGCTTTCTGGTTCATGTGGCCAGTATGACTAAACCGCTTCTGGTGCAACAGAACACCGTGACGGAAACCAGAGCGCATGGAAAGGCTGTTTACCGTCTCGCCACAATGGTACCTATTTATCTACTTGCACTGGTGTGCTTTCTAACTGCTAGGTCGGCTGGGGCTGGAACAGAGCAACGGGAGCTCACCCGGTCGCAGGGATTCAAACCGCCGAACTTCTGATTGGCAAGCCCAAGAGGCTCAGTGGTTCAGACCACAGCCATTGTGGAACCTAAGGTGAAATAGTGTGGTTCTCATGAGATCACTCATCTAGGAACTGAGCAAAGCCACTAGACTTCCTTAGCTTCAGCAAGTTGGTGGCCTCATGTGCCTTCAGACTGACAAGCTTTACAGGGTTATTGTAAGGGTTACCAAGGGAATGTAAATGAGAGGCATGTTAAAAACACTATACAGTGGTACCTCAGGTTACATATGCTTCAGGTTACAGACTCCACTAACCCAGAAATAGTGCTTCAGGTTAAGAACTTTGCTTCAGGATAAGAACAGAAATTGTGCTCTGGCAGCGCGGCAGCAGCAGGAGGCCCCATTAGCTAAAGTGGTGCTTCAGGTTAAGAACAATTTCAGGTTAAGTACGGACCTCCGGAACGAATTAAGTACTTAACCCGAGGTACCACTGTACAACTCTATTCCCCCTTCCTTTTTCTTGTTTCTCACATTTTGCAGGGTGCATGTGTGTGGCATAAGTGAACAAGAACAACAAAACAAGTGCATTTCTAGAAACAATCTGAATAATTAAAACAATTTTTGAAAAGCGATGCATTTTTTAGTCTGTCCTTTTTTGATACTATACTCTGAATTCATTGTCATAACTAGCATGTCTAAAGTTAAGTTGTCAGATCTGTCTTAATAACGTGTCCTTCCAGTGATGTTAATGTTCAAAAGTCTATAATAAATCTGACATCTGTCACTGAAGGAGACATTAAGCAAAGTATGACCCCCCCCTTTTTCTTTTACATTTTTCAGTCTGTGGTCTGAAGCGTAACCTCAGCAGACTGTAAGTAAGCAAACAGTGTCCATGGGAGTCTGTTGGCCTGTCTCTGGAGAGAGAAGGTAGTTTCTAAATGGCATCTTGCGGTTTAAAAAGAGCATCGCATTGCAGGGAAATGCCAAGATCCTTCATTCATAACCGCACTAGATCAGGGTCATTTGAACGTTTGTTTCAGATAAGCATGGATCTTGGTTACACCATTGCCACCTGGAGTTGAAGCAGTTGCAAAAGAGAATTCCCTGAAATTCTTGCAAAGAAAAATTAAAACCCAGAGATGCGTGCGCATGCAGAAAAATAATAATTTCACATTTGTTTTTGATTTGCTTTGTACCTATTTCATGTATTCCATCAAAGTTTTGCTTTTATTGTGGGATGTCACATTTTCCAAGCACTCAAAAGCACAGTATTTTGTGAAAGTTTTCAGTACCTACTATCTTGGACTGCTTTAAAGGAGGAATAGGCAAGATCATAGAGGGTGTGGGGCTTTCATTGGCTGCTAGTCACAGAGGCTGTGTTCTACCTCCACTTATCAGAGGTAGTACACCTCTGAAAATCAGCTGCTGTTGTGCACAGGTCCTGCTTCTGGGTTTCCCATAGGTATCTGATTGTGATATTAAGTCGTTGGCAACCCAAATTTTAGCAGCATTTGTCAAGTCTCAGATGATTTAGACTAGTGGCTGCAAATGCTGTACATACTATTCAAAAAATCTCTTAAGGATCTGCATGGAGTGCACACAAAGCCCTCCCTGCTTTGGGTGCATGGTTGTTCCTGCATGTTACTGGCAAACTTGCAATTGATTCAGCCTCTAAAATGCTGCTAAAATGCTTCAACCTCTAAGCCTAAATATATGTAGCTGAAATAATAACATACTATTATCCTTTTGATCTCTTCCTTCATTTCCCCTGACTGTTGTCCCCCAATGGGGCAGGGACCTTTCGTTGCTGTCCTTGTACATGGGTGATGCTATGTTTCAATATTGCAAACACTAAATAATTTCCCAATAATTTATATAATGCTGTTTGACTTTGTCAAAAAGTTTAGAATCTATTTGGGATACTGCCAGGCTTCAACTCTGCCTGGTACATTTATACATTCCTCAGGCTCACTCTTCTCTTCTGTGTTCCTGTGTACAATAGGTGTTCACGTGTGTCTACGTGTTGTGTGATTCGATTTTTATTAGTGTTTGAAAGGCAGTTTATTAGCCGTTGCTTGTGCAGCACGTTTGTGATCTTGCTGATGAAAGATTCTGCATTAAACTGGAGTAGAGTAGATTTAATAAATCTAAAAACCCACCAGCGACTTGTTGCTGTTTAACTCGGTTGACCTAGCAACAGAACCGCAGTCAACTAACGAGCTCCAAATTCCTCCTTTGGCACTTTGTTCATTAGTGGAATGGAATTATGGCTTTCTATCTAGCATGCATTTTTTCTGTGAAACTGGAGTCGCAAATGAAGAGTCATGGAAGTTTAAGAATTCCATGAGAGTCTGGACAGATGTGCAGTAATTAGTACTGGATTTTGGCTCACCTTTGTTTAGACAAATAGCTGACAATGTGCCATCAGCCAGGCAGTCGATTTACGAGCTTGGAAAGAAAACTGGCATGGAGACTAATTGAGAATTGGATGGTGGTGGAAAGAACATTTGCATTGTCCCCCTGCGTTGTGAACCTCCAAGCATTTCGGTTTCAGCTCTGGCTATATAACAGAAGACCACTGTGGGGAATGATAGTGGAAATGTAACACACTGGGTTCTTTCTAATGCTGTCCTTCCATCCATGGAAGGTTTTTTCATCCATCAGAGGCTTTTGTGAATGGAAGGAGGACAGAAGAGATTTTCAGAAATTTCCCCTTTCTGCTGCAGTCTCTGTTACTGTCCTGGCACATGCTTCAACCTTCTGGAGTAAATTTCGGGGATGCAGTGGAAATGGGTGAAAAAGCAAAAGTCACCTACCTCTTCCTTTCATTCAAGGAAGCCTCCACTGGATCAAAGTGCCTTCCATGAATGGACGAACACCTGGATGCAGCCCGTTGACTATAGATTGACAGCAGGCATTAATTTCAGAACTTTGATACATATCTCCCAAGAAACAGCCAGTAAAAAATGGCTCAGCATTCAGTTAGGCCATACCAAATAGCAGCAATGTTTTTTTAAAAAATAAGTGTATGAATTATTGCTGAACTCCCACCAGCTACTGGTTACTTGACATGCTTGCAAACACAGATGGTCACTATTTGTTCATACAGGATTTTGGCAAGGAGGCAAATGTCTCAGTGGGATTTTTGTGCGTGGAGTTCAGATAAATAAGCATTTTGGTGACCTGCAGTTCACTGAATAATTATGAGATTATTCTGAATTCAATGTGCTGTGCCTAAAATTATACAAGATCAGAAGTATTACATCCAGATCTCAAAATCCATATGACCAAATATATTTATACTGCTTGTCAGTTATAGATATATGCTCTTTAAGGGGTAGACCCATAAATGATTAAATAAGAAGCAGAGTTAAACATAATTTTGGGGGCAAAAGTTATGCTTTCAAGAGTGGCCTAAAATTTCCATCTTTGCATTTTTGTGCTATTCACAACCTCTTCTGCTTTTTCTTAAGGTTCTTCCTTGTTCCTTGATCCACCCAATCAGGGTTCACATTGCAAATGTGGTGGTGTCATAATGCCTTCGGTCAAACAGATTTGTGCTATCGATACCCAACCCCCCAAAAAACCACTGAAAAAGAAATACTAGCTATATTTGCAAATGGCTTCTCTCCACTTCCAATATTTTGACTTAACCATATAAGAAGAGTGTTTTGGATGCAATCTGGTATCCAAACAAAATGGCCAAGGCATGTTTTCACTTGTTGGCTCACAGCCCAGTGGCCACTAGGGACTGTTCTGGACTTCAAGTGTACCTGTGCAATATATGTGTTTCCAGACATGCACCTATCACTTTCACATTTTACATTTCTGGGGTACATATTTAAAATAATGTTACACATCACCCGCAATCTCTGCCAAGCAGTGACAAGATTCCAGGGGGTTCCAGGCACTCACCCAGGGTTTGTGTTTCCATTGGAAATTAGGCATAGCAGAGACTGCAGTGTCTTTATGATATATGGTTTAATTTACACATATATACACCCGAATCCACTACATAGAGAATTCAGAGCACTTACATCTCAAGAGCGTCCTTTGCTTCCCTCTTAGGAGCAGTAGACTTGGGTTTACAAGTGGAGGAACCAGCCATGCTGCCTGTGTCTCTGTGCTATGGCTTCTTCCAGTGCTTTTTTCTGGGGTTACTCAAGAGTACACAGTACTGGCACCTTTTCCTTTCAAATGCTCAAAGTATGGCACTTACCATAACAACTTCATTGTGAGTGCCGGCATTCCCCCCTCCCCCCAAAAAAGCAAAACAAAACAAATCACCCCACTGGCTTCTTCTGAACTACATGACCACCTCTCCACTTCTTCTTTCTTCTTGCCAGAAACACTTAACAGAAAAACAGCAACTGCCCCTTCCACTTACAGCATCACAACCTCTTGTTTCCCAAGCCTATTGCAAAGCAACCAGCTTTTTCCTTTTATCAGGGCCCACTGCCTCACCATTATCAAACAAAGTGGGTCATTATCAGTCTCTTGTGTCTTCAACGGCCCACCCCATAAGTGAGCCATCACCAAGATGGTCTCATGAGGAAGCCAGCTGGTGTTATTTCCAGCCCCTGCTAAACTCATGAATTTGTGATTTTGCTCAAATTCTAACCTTTTACTGAATCTAGAGGTTTGGGGCCTTGCCTGCCCCCCAATTTATAACATCATCTTAGGAATACACCTAAAAACTGTAGCTTTATGAAGAGGTTTTGAGGGACTTAAAAGGCACAGTTGCTCAGAGCCACATAACAGGCATTGTGTTTGATGTTTTGTCAGATCAATGACAGCCTGTTTGCTAACCGTTATGAAAATATAGTTGTGTAATTTGCTCAGAAAATGCCTGTCAGCCTTGTTCTTCTTGCCTGACAATAGGTTTTGTCAGGAAAATAACTCTGCTAATCATCCACTTCGGTGTCAACGATTTTGATAAATTGCTTCTGGGAAACATAACTGGCGTGCAGAGTGCCATGGGTCACTTCAGGCCTTGCATTTTAGAATTTCACATATGTCAGATTAATTTCAAGCTAGCCACACTGTTTTCTGTGTACTGGAAACATTACCTATCCAAGCTTCTTACACATTCAAGGCACGATGTAGTGCCTGCTGCATTTAGAAATGGCAAGAAAGTCCTCAAAGGTTCAAAATATGGGCTCAGCTGCGGAGGGCAGGATATAAATAAAATTTTAGTATTATTATTATTTTCCATGGTGTAAATCATGTCTGTTGTGCAGCTAAGGTAAAGGTAAAGGACCCATGGACAGTTAAGTCCATCCCATCAAAGGCGACTATGGAACCAGCATTTGTCCACAGACAGCTTTCCGGGTTATGTGGCTAGCATGACTAAACTGCTTGTGGCGCAATGGAACACTGTGATGGAAACCAGAGCGCACGGAAATGCCGTTGACTTTCCCACTGCAGCAGTACCTATTTATCTACTTGCAGTGGTGTGCTTTTGAACTGCTAGGTTGGCAGGAGCTGGTTCAGAGCAACAGGAGCTCACCCCGTCATGGGGATTCGAACCGCCGACCTTCTGATCGGCAAGCCCAAGAGGCTCAGTGTTTAGACTACAGTGCCACCAGCAGCTAAACTCAGTTTTGTCTGCTGGGGCTCCACATACTCTGCTGAGACATCACACTGGTTGAAGCATGGTGAACTAAGAACTGACTTCCACAAGTCCCAAACAACATCCTGGGAGATATATATATATATATATTTCTGATTGTCTGAACCTTTCTGATGTTCACATATAGCAGTAGCCTAGTTTAGCTTGTGAGATACTAATCTAATGAAAAACGCCTCAGAGATATCCTGCTACATGTTACCGTAGGCAGGATGGAGGAAGCAAACAGTCTTCTTGGTGCACCCTTGAAAGGTCTTCCTCCTTCCTTTGTTTTTCTTGAAGATAAAACTTCACAGCAGCATTTTACAAGAAGGTTTAATGAAGACCAGTGTTTGCAAAACAAGGCAAAACTTCCTCCAATCCCCCACAGCACCAGACATCCTAAATTCATTAAGAAGAATTTGTGCTCAGCTTAATCTTTGAAACCGTGTAGGCCAGAGTTTTGCTTTTTACATAGTTTTGATAGTCTGTTGCTAATTTGAAAGGGTCAGTTCTTACAGCCAAGGCTTGTAGCCCTTTGGACACTTTGCAGGTTCACCTGCGTCACTGACTTTTAGAGGAAGCCTGAAACTCTGAATTGTTGGTTTACGAAGTTAGTGGGAAATTGCCTTAAAGCCTCATGTGCTATTTATGTTGGCTTCGGCTTGCTGTTAATGTGGAAGAGACAGCAGAAGAGGGGCATTCTGGGAAAGCAAAAGCATCTTTACGGAAGGTACTGTACCTGTAAGGCTCGTCATTCAAACCAAGCAAAAAAAAAGTGTGTGTGTGTGTGTGTGTGTGCGCCCCCTTCTGGAATGGATGGCATTTATGGGAAGTTAATCTGCTAATCTTACCTTTGCTAATCAACCCAAAATGGTTATATGAACACATCCTTAATGCTCAGTAGGGAAACTTACATTTCTAAAAAGCCATGATGATATGTATGAGGAACCCAAGTCATCTACTCAGACCTCGAATAGAAGCTGATGGGGCAATTCAGGCTGGAGTTGCAGAACCTCTGAGTGAGCTCCAAATGGACAACTTGCTTCAACCAAGCTGAAATCAGGTCTTTTCATCTCCGTTTGAGAGCTCCAAGGGCCAGTCTTCTGTCTTGAAGCCTCGTGCTCTACTTCCTCTCATTTCGCTCTTTCCTGGCTCATTGCCTGGACCAGTCATCCAGCAATGGGGAGCATGGGGTCTCCAGATGAAGAAGCAGTTGCCTCTTTAGGTGCTCAGTGGTGGTTGCCTCTGGGGATTCCTGTGCAGGGCTGGATATATATATATATATATATATATATATATATATATATATAATGTCCAGTAGCACCTTAGAGACCAACTAAGTTTGTTCTTGGTATAAGCTTTTGTGTACATGTATCTGAAGAAGTGTGCATGCACACGAAAGCTTATACCAAGAACAAACTTAGTTGGTCTCTAAGGTGCTACTAGACTCTCTCTCTCTCTCTCTCTCTCTCTCTCTATATATATTTCGACTGCATCAGACCAACACAGCTACCTACCTGAATTGAGGGCTGGATATGTTTTGCCTCAGGCTTAGCACCAGGGACCATTGCTTGGTCCACCTCTTTCCCTGCTGATTATTCTGCTCTGCTTAGCCCTTTTTCATCTAGGTCTACTATGAAACTAATGGAGCTTAAGCTTCAGGGCCTCTAATCTAGGAAGGGGCCCCAGAAGTGACTTTAAATCCTCCCATTGCTAAGATCACAGAAGGGAAGGTCGTCTCTTGCAAAGACCTGTTTTTTGCTGACCGATGTTGAGAGATCTATATCCTTTCGAACATCTAAATTTCTTGTGAAGGTTTTACAGATTTGTGTAACAAAACTTGAGAGGGGAACAGGAAATGATTTGTCCACTTGGGGTTGGGGAGTAGAAATGTTAACCATTATTGGTAGCAGTATTCCTGTTTTTGTTATTATTTTATGTGTGCTTGGCTGCTTGCTAAATAAACCACAATAAACCAGACTGACTGACTGTTGCTTTTAAAAAAAATGGGTCTAGTAGATCAAATTTGAGTCGCACGACTCAGATTGATTACTTTTTTGTTCTATATATTTCAACAGTCCCAAAGTCAGTAGCACAGATGTTGTAAAAGTGTGATGATCTGTCATGGAACAACTCCATTGAAGAAGATAGCAGTGGTTACCAAGACCTTGTTGCTGGTTCTGAAGGGGTCCCCATAGCATTTCCAGATGCAGGGCCCACAAAATGTACGTCCACCACTGTCAAGGTCAGAGTCAAAGCTGCTACTCAGGTTGGGAGTCATGCACCCTGCTGGATCAGACCAATGATTCTCTAAGCCCAGCATTGAGGATGGCCAGCCAGGCCCTCTGGGAAGTCCACAAGCAGGACATAAAGGCAACAGCCATCTCATAATATTCCTCCTCAGCCCTGGAGTATTTGGATGTTTATTGAGAGACCTCTCTGTCTTAAGTCTGTCTTCTATGAATTTTTCTAATCCTGTTTTAATTTTTTATAAGCTAGTGGCCATCACATCACGTAGCAGAAAAATCCCATAAATTAGCTATGTTGTAGTCTGAAGAATGATTCTCTTTTGGCTTGTCCTGAATCGTCTGCCAATAAGTTTTGCTAGATGGCTCCAAGTTCTCGTATTATGAGTTTGGGGCGGGGGGAACACTCTATCCACTTTCTCAACACCATGCATAATTTTATAGCTCTCTGTCTTAAGACTTGCGGTTTAAGGGGCAGAAGGTAAACTCGCAGTCCTTAGTTTGACATCTGATTTCTCTAACCACATCTGCAAGATGTTCTGGAAACCACACTTTGAAAGGGGGGGAAAGCTGGGTCATTCGCTTAAAGTGTAATTTAAGAAGAAGCTGGACTGAAAAGGTTACTTTTGGTTTACATATACAAGATGAAGGTTTCCACTACGTTTAGAATCTCCTCTTGCATAGGAAAGCAAGATTTATACCTACTAAGGCATCCATTAAAGGGCCACCATGAGAGAACTGTTAGTGAGCTATGAAATATCAAGCATTAACAGTGAAATACTATGCATGTTCACACAAAAGTGGTCTTGATGGGGCTTAATCCAAAGTAGGTGTGGCTAGCATTGCATCCTAAGATTTACCAGTTTATCTGGGATTATGCTCCATTAAACTCAATGGGACTTACTTTTGAGCAGACCTGCATAGGATTGTGCTGCCTATTATTTAAAGCTCCTGTAAACTCAAGTAACCACCCACAAAGAAATCTCTAACTTTGCCTTCTTCAAATCTCTGTGCTTCACACAGTCCCATTTTCAATTATGTTTTTTTCCTTCGATTGATTTGTACATCCTATTATTTTTCCCTCATTCTCATAAATGAACACAAACATATATTTTAAAAAATCATAAGCATCTGTTGGGATAGTCAGTTCTGCCCCCATTGTTGCTCATGCAGCCAAAATGACAACAATTAAAATATGTGGGAGGTATCAGCAGACTTGGGGCAACTTCAGATTTTTCAGAAATACAAAACAAAAACAAAAACTGGGGAGGGGTTGGCCACAGAAACACTCTAATGAGAAGTGAGTGTGTTCCATGCCCATGGAATACTGACTAACTGTCAAGAGGTGGGAAACAGAAAACTGGGAGGGAAGGGAAATAAGAGTCAACAGAAAAGGAAGAAGGACAGAGAGAGATGTGGGTATAAAACAGGTAGACAGAACCATCTCATTGTACGGATTGGTCATTTCATAGTTCATGCTGTGATGTTATTTTAAAATGTCCTCAAGAGCTAGACGTGAGAGCTTCCCATGGAAATCAATGGGGAAATTCAAAATTTTAATGCTGCTGGGATTAGGCACCAGGGTGTCTGCTCCCCTCCCAAAAAAACAACAACAACAGCCATTAGAGGACTGAACATGCTCATTGGCCACAGAACGATGAATATCTGTTGGAAATGGAATGGGGAACTGACTGGCTAATCATGTGCCCTACTGCTGACCTTTAGCCCTTCCCCTACCAAAGCAGCATAGGATAATTCTGAGTCTTGCTCATACCTGAAGGAACCTCTTTCCAGATAAGCAGGACCACATGTTATGCTACCCCTCTGCAGACTGAAATATGTTATTAATGTCAACTCTTGTTTTCTGCTCTCTTTAAATCATGAACGTCGTTACGACAACATTAACTTTTGCAAGTCTCAGTAGCTGAACTTTTGTTTTCCCACTAGTCTGCTTTCAGACACCCTTTATCAAGTCAGGCGTTCCTGTGTTTCTAAAGATGCATGTACACAAGGTTGGCTTCAGCAGCCGTCATGCTTCGGCAGATACCATGGCTTTAGGACTCACAACTGACAGCTGCCTTGGGCTCCCTATTCATTTCTGACATGCCACTCCAAGCAGTGCTGGGCCGTAGGGTGTACCTCTGGAGGCCACCATTTTAGTTTCTCACTTCCAGAAAGGAGTGAACAAGCTGGGGCATTGTGGGAAATTAAAATAGTGGCAGAACCCAGCCATCTAGTACTGCTCCTGCCCACCGCATGGTAAGCCTGCCAGGACCCATTAACAGACAAGATGGTTTCATGAACAGAGGACACCTGGCCCATGGCCCCCTCACCCCTGGAGCCAGCACTGACTGTACAAATAGTAGCTGGAGAAGGATCTTAGTTGCAAAACTTTTTTTGTTGGCATCTGTCTGTCTCACGAGACAATGGAGCGTTCCTCTGGGGGTGAGGTCCAACTGCCACATTACCAGCAGCAAAGTGACCTCCCCAGGGCGCAAGCCTGGGCTGTGTGTATGGAGGTCCTGGGCCACCCAGACAACAATGCCCCCCTCTCAGCCTCGCTGATGGGGTCCAAAGGAAAACAGAGCAATACATTTGGCACTAGCGAAAACGTAGCATAAACAGTGAGCAGGCTGGTCTATAATTTCTCCCTATGGCACACTGATGGTTGTTGTTGTTGTTGTTTTGAATGGGAGTGCCCTGTCCCTTCCAGGAATCATTCATTTGCTTCTGCGGTCAATCTAGTACAGTCTATTTTATGACTTCAGAATTCTACCATCTCATTTTCTCACTTTACTGTGGTAGTTTCAGACCTGTGTTTGCATTCATGTCTCCCATTTGTATTTTGTTCTGAGGGTTAAGCTTTTTTTGTTGGGGGGGAATTAACAGGATTTATCCCTGGAAAAGATCCTGATGTTGGGAAAGATGGAGGGCACAAGGAGAAGGGGACAACAGAGGACGAGATGGTTGTTCTCAAAGCTACCAGCATGAGTTTGACCAAACTGTGGGAGGCAGTGGAAGACAGGAGGGCCTGGCGTGCTCTGGTCCATGAGGTCACGAAGAGTCAGACATGACTAAACGACTAAACAATAACAACAAATATATGATTTAATCATCCAAACCTCTAAACAGTTTACATAATATTGTTGTAAGCTGCCTCAGGCCTTGATGCAAAGGAATGGGAATAAATGTTTTAATACAATGCAATACTGTACTATACAGTACAAGACAACACAACACAACACAAAACACAACATTACAATAAAGAAGTAGCTTTAGCTGAAGCTGTTGCTTGCATTACTGGCCTTTCTGAAAGTAATACAGGTAATGTCATAAGCTATGCCTACTTGCTTGGGGGAAAGGCCATTGAATTCAGTAGAACTTAGGTTCAAATAAACATGGATAGGACTGGGATCTTAATTTACTAATTCCATCTAATAGATAGTTTGTCTGTTTTTGTCTTTTTAGGAAAAAGTGCTGTAAGGGTTATAAGTTTGTTCTTGGACAATGCATTCCTGAAGGTACGTTCTTAAATTATTATTACTTTCCAACACTTATCACTACAGTGGTTCTGTCTTTCTGTACTTTAATAAATATAGGCTCAAATATTTGTTTCTCTACATGCTTACCTGGGAGTAAGTCTCACCAAACTCAATACATTGGGTTGGGTGGTTAATGAGTATAGACCAGGGATAACCAATGAGGTGTCCTCCAGGCTTTGATGGGACTACAGCTCCCATCATCCCTCACCACTGACCATGTTGACTGGGGCTGATGGGAGCTGGGGTTCAACAGTATCCAAAGGCAACCACATTGACTACCTCTGCTATGGAAAATCATCCAGTGGCTGCTGTCGTGTCCCCAGTCACCATTATAACGCCATAATTTTAGACATTCACTAGATCAGCATTTCCCAACCTTGGGCCTCTAGCTGTTTTTGGACTACAACTCCCATAATCCTCAGCTAGCAAGACCAGTGGTCAGGGATGATGGGAATTGTAGTTCGAAAACAGCTGGAGGCCCAAGGTTGGGAAACACTGCACTAGATGTATCTGAGCTTCATGATGTCTCCTTTTGCTTCATAACAGTCTCTACATTATAGGCCTTCAAAGTCATGTGAATAAACCAACCCGAATTTACCATTTCAGTTTCTTAGTTCAACCATCTCTTCTGGGAATGGATGGTAGGTAGCATTTATGCTCCTGAAATGCTTATTTGGGAGCAATAAGAAGCAGGGCATTGACGAAGATATAAATTGTGACACTGCAGACATTAGATAGCTTGGACAATTATTCTGATGCATAAAAGGCCTTTGTGGAAGTAAGGCAGCAGTCTCTGGGTCCACTCTGAAGAACAGCAATCTGTAGGCCAACCAGTAGAAGATTGTTTCACACCTTTCTTTGCTCTGAGGCTGAGGGGTCAGACACCTGAGGGCAGGGGCAGCGCTTCCCCTTTTGCCACTTGAGGTGCAAGAGGAAGTGCCGCCTTGCCCTGCCATTGCCTGTGCTGCCCTCCCTGCCAGTATCACAGCCAATTTCAGGTCAGACCTCTCTGGTTTGGGGAGAGATATTGCATGCTGCACAAGATCTTACCCAAAACTGCCACCACCGCTTCTCTGCCAGGGGTGGAGGTGGTGAGGCAGGTAGGACGTCACTTTTGGTGGCTTCTGCTGCCTGAGGCAGTGCCCTCTCACTCCCAATGGCCATGTCTGAGTACCTGCTTCCTACTCATGCCTCAGAGCAGTCTCTGCTAACTGTTGTTCAGTACCTTGCAGCTGCACTGCTTTGACGAAAAAGAACTTGGCTTTTAAAAACACCCTCACTGTTTCATCATCATCATCATCATCATCATCATCATATTTATACCCCACCCATCTGGCTGGGTTTCCCCAGCCACTCTGGGTGCTTCCAACCGAATATTAAAAACAATACAGCGTCAGACATTAAAAACTTCCCTAAAGAGGGCCGCCTTCAGTTGTCTTTTAAAAGTAAAATAGTTGTTTATTGCCTTGACATCTGCTGGGAGGGTGTTCCACAGGGCAGGCGCCACTACCAAGAAGGCCCTCTGCCTGGTTCCCTGTAACTTGGCTTCTTGCAGTGAGGGAACCGCCAGAAGGCCCTCAGCGCTGGACCTCAGTGTCCGGGCAGAACGATGGGGGTGGAGACGCTCCTTCAGGTATACAGGACCATGGCCATTTAGGGCTTTAAAGGTCAGCACCAACACTTTGAATTGTGCTCGGAAATATACTGGGAGCCAATGAAGATCTTTCAGGACTGGTGTTATATGGTCTCAGCGGCCGCTCCCAGTCCCCAGTCTAGCTGCTGCATTCTGGATTAATTTCAGTTTCTGAGTCACCTTCAAAGGTAGCCCCACATAGAGCGCATTGCAGTAGTCCAAGCGAGAGATAACCAGAGCATGCACCACTCTGGCAAGACAGTTTGTATATTACCCTGCCCATCCTCTCCAAGGATCTCACCTCCCTTTTTTATTCTCACAACATCCCTGGGAGGCAAATTAGTAACTGGCCCAAGATGGCTAAGCATGGATTTGTATCTGGGTTTTACCCTTATATTTTTGTGCATCACAACAATTGGCTCCAGCAGACATAAGCCCCTCCAGCAGACATAATGTGCCACCCAAATGCCATCTTCTCTTCTCTGGCTCTGTGCTTCACCTCTCCCCTGGGCCCACCCCTTGGAGGCCCTTAGAAGGCAGGGCTTTAAAACAATCAAGTATGTGGTTTTAAAAGGAACAGGAGTGTTAATTTTGCACCACCTTTTAAAATACTGCATAAATGAGCTCAGCCAGCGGTTTATCATTTATTAAAGTTTTACACTTACTGTGTGTTATTTGGAACAGTAGTGTTTTATGGGCTGTGTGCTCTCTGCTTTGGCAATCAAGAGCTGATCTTGTAGCATTATGAACATTAGGCTGCGAAGACAGATGCACGTGCTCAACTCAACGCACTCTTTTGCCTCTTGCAGTCAACAAAAGGGATTCACCTTGGTTTTATCAGGTTGATTTATTATTGGCAGATGTGCTGCTTTAGCAGCTCAGAGTCCCGGAAATCTTGGCAGCCAGACACCGAGCTGATAATGCACTGGGGCAAAACCAAACTATGAATAAAAATCTTAGCAGGTGAGCAAACTTGACTGGTGACTCACCTATCTTGGCTCAATGCTGAGAAAACACTTGGAATCGTTTTTTCTGCAAAATCGAGCTCCAAATGGGATAGGAGCATTCTGACAACTGAGAGGCATTTTGAGTCCATCGTGGCTGCACATTGTGTCCAGCTTCAATTCATGGTGCTGGTGTTAACCTTTAGAAACCTTAATGGCTTGGGACCTGTTTATCTCAAGGACCACCTTCTTCTGTATGCATGCTCTGATTGTCTCCAAACTCCTTCTTCAGATTCCGTAACACCACAAGGCACACCAGGGACAGGGCCATTTCTACAGTGGCACCTGCTGCATGCAACACTTTAGCAAACATGCAGCATCAGACCCCATCACTGCTTTTGACGGCTAGTGGAGACGTGGCTGCTCATTGCTTAAAGGGGCCTTAGGCTTAATATTTCCTTTTGTTCTAACATTCTGAAGTTTTAATTCTGATAGCTGTTTTGCCGTTGTTACTGTGGCCTTGGGTTTTATGCTAATATTTTGATTCACGATGTAAACTTTGAATTGTTCTGTATTTTATAACTGTTGCCTTTTTTTATTTTAAAAAATCACCTTGAGTTTCTTCTGAAAAATAGGTGGGATAGAAGTTGTTGTGCTTAAACAATTTAGCAATGAGAAGCCTGAGCTGCGATGGAGCTCCGTTGCATCGTACACAGTCAGCACAATTGCAGTAAGCTTGGAACTGTAAGACTCAAAGTCAATTCTGAATGCATGAAGCAAAATAAACATTTGGTGCTGTAGTTCACAGAGTGATGGTTTACATGTTCTCTCCCTCTTAAATGGAGATTAGTTCCATGCGAGAGAGAAATGTCACACTTGAAATGCCAGTCATGGGTGGATGCAGCTGCCAATGCCTGCAAGCTGGTGTATTACTTTTCCAGTCTAGCCCAATGAAAGGAGGATGCAAAGACCCTCTTCCCTTGGAGAACCCCCCCCCCCATGGCTGAATATATATGGTGGAGGCCATAGAAAGCAGCACAGAAACCCCATATCTCCTCCTAGCTGCCCTGTAGTATCACACAAACCATAGCATGATTGTGCCCTATGATTCCTTGTCACCACTAGCAACAGCCAGTGAATTGGAGCTGAGGCAGGGAAACTTGCAGAACATTAACCATCTTCAGGCGGTCTTCTTGAATGCCTGAAGGGGCAAGTGGGAATGCACTCCACCTGGCTACCCCCTCACTGGTATCTGCACCACCCACAACACCACCCCCATATCAGTTCCACCCATGACCTTCATGTGGATCTGAAGAGCAAATTTCCATGGCCTTGGAATCCTGCCCTCAGTCAGGAACCCTGCATGGTTAAGGGGTGGCCCATCAAGTCCAGCATCCTGTTCGCACAGTGGCCAACCGAAAGCAGGACCTGAATGCAACAGCACTCTGCTCATCTGTGACTGCCTCTGGCAATGGAACCCTGGAGAGCCACTGCCTCCTGAAATCTACTCTCAAAACCCCAAAGAGCTGTTGCCAGTCACGGCAGTGGCATTACTTAGATTTGACCATTTAGCCTGGCAGGCTGAGAACACCCTCTCTTGTCCAGTGTGCCTCTCTGTTGATCCTACCATTCCAGAGTTGTAATCTTGTTGTTGTTTAGCCATGTCCAACTCTTCAGACCCATGGACCAGAGTGACGCCAGGCACTCCTGTCTTCCACTGCCTCCCGCAGCTGGGCCACGCTGGTAGCTTCTGAACACTGCCCAACCACTCACCCACGCTCTCTCCTTGTCCCCACCCTTCCCAACACGGGCCCTTTCCAGGGAGTCTTCTTCTACTGAGGTGGGCCAAAGCATTGGTTTCGCTTCATGATCTGTCCCTTCAATGAGCGCTCAGGGCTGATTTTCTTAAGAATGGATAGGTTTGATCTTCTGTGTCCATGAGACTCTCTCAAGAGTCTCCTCCAGCACCATAACCAAAGCATCACTATTCCGGCGATCAGCCTCTTTTTATGGTCCAGCTCTCACTTCCATACATCACTACTGGGGAAACCATAGCTTTAACTATATTAACTTTACCACAAGGTGATGCTCGCTTAAGATGCTGTCTAGGTTTGTCATTGCTTTTCTCCCAAGAAGCAGGCGTCTTTTAATTTTGTGACTTCAGTCACCAACTGCAGTGATCATGGAGCCCAAGAAAGTAAAATCTCTCACTGCCTCCATTTCTTCCCCTTCTATTTGGCAGGAGGTGGTTGTCCTTGTATCCTGTAATCCACTAAATTTGGTTCTGGAAATAGCATTGTAGAGGTGTACAGTGCATTCACTAAACTGTATGCAGCTTCTCCACAGCCCAACAGTTACAATCATCTATGGTTCTTAGCTTAGTATATTTCTTTTAACCAACTTTTATTCACAGAGAATTTTCTTGAGAGTCCCCCCCCAAAAAAAAAAAATATCCTGAAGGTGATGGAAGAAAAATAACAACATTGTGTAATTACATTTATCTTATTTTTTCCCCAGAGGTATCTGCTTCTTTGCCTGTTCTTTTGTCACACATAGCAATCCAGTGTAAATAAAAATTTGAGGTCTACGTTTTCTTGATTAGTAATGGGAGTACAACTACATTGGTAACTGAAGGACAAACACTAATTTCCCAAATTACTTTTGCAGTGTTGTACAGCTGCTAATAACAAGCACATTTCTCTCTCGTTAGATTATGACGTCTGCGCAGAAGCTCCTTGTGAACAACAGTGCACAGACAACTTTGGACGAGTCTTATGCACGTGCTACCCTGGTTATCGGTATGACCGCGAAAGGCACAAGAACAGAGAGAAACCCTATTGCTTAGGTGGGTGGAAAAGATTGCACCTGAAATCAATTCAAGGCTACTTGCCATAAATTCAAACATATGGATATTAATGTGCTTCCAAAATTTGGTTAATTCAGATTATTATTGTTTATTGTATTTTTGATACATTTTTCATTTGCGTTTCTGATACATTTCAAAATGTAAACAAAAATAATGTGAAAAGAAAAGAATCTCTGGAATAATAAAAAGTAACAATTTTGAAATAACAAAAACAACAACCAGAAAACGTTCCTTAACCGACTTCCCATCCTCTCCTTCCATTGTTCCTTTTATCTCTTATTTTCCTCGCGTTTTCTTGGTTCATGCTGTCTATCGCAACTCCTTATATAAACTCTAGTTATTTCTTACACTGCTGAGAATCTTACCATCCTGCTAGGTTGATTGTCTGCTTATCACACTTTTTCATATATTCAATAAAGAATATCCTGTCCTCCTATATCTTTTATCATTTTGATTCCTTATTCTAATGGTCATTCCTGTTAGCTCTTCATATGCTAACAGTTTAATGCACCATTCTTCTTTTATTGATACCTTATCTGTTTTCCATTTCTGCGCTAATAACACACATGCAGCAGTTGTCGCATATAGGAACAAAATTCTCTCCTTTTTTTTGTAACTTCTGTTGTTATTAACCCCACAAAAATCTTCTGGATTTTTAGGAAAGGATTTTTAAAACATTTTTAAAAGTTCATTATAGGTCATTTCCTAATAGTTTTTAATTATGCTGCATGACCACCACATGTGATGAAGAGTTCCCTCTGCTACCTTGCATGTTCAACAATTGCCCTTTGTTGATTTTGGCATTTTTGCGAGTCTATTTTAACCCTGGATCCCAATAACTCCTTTTCAAACTGCGAATTTTGTTCTGCAAATCCATATTTTTTTAACTAACTTAAATGTTGCATTCAAGTGATGGTAAAGATCTGTCACTTGATCTTTTATCTCTCTATACTCTTTCAATTTATATTCCTCCCTAGTGACAGTTAGCAAGTCTCTATATGTACTCCAATTTTTCTGTATATTATTATTATTTTTTCCTTGCAAGGGCTTCTGTTGGTGACAGCCACATTGGTGTTTTCCTTTCTAATAAGTTTTTGTATTTTTCTCATACCCTATACAGGTTTTTCCTAATTAAGTAGTTTGAGAAACTCTCATATATCTTGGCCTTCCCGTACCACAGGGACGCATGCCACCCAAATTTTAAGTCATGCCCTTCCAAGTCCAATAGGTATCTGTTCTTTAGTAAAATCCATTCTTTCAACCAACATAAACATGATGCGTCAAAATATAATTGTATGTCAGGCAGGACAAAACCACCTCTCTCTTTAGTGTAAATCACAATTTATGTTTCATCCTGGGTTTTCTCCCATGCTAAATAAACTTAGATAGATCTTTTTGCCATTCCTTAAAATTTCAGATGTCATTAACTATAGGTACAGTCTGAAATAGGAATAGCATCTTTGGGAGTATATTCATTTTTATGACCGAAATTTTACCCAGCAATGACAATTGCATTCTACTCCAAATTTGCAGGTCTTTTTTTATTTCTTCCCAAACCTTTACATAGTTAATTCAGATTAATTCAGATGCTGCCTCCACCACCATGGCCAACGATGAGGGATGATGAAAGTTCAGAGTCCAGCATTGATCTGGAGGACCATATGTTCTCCATCCCTGATCTAGAGGGCCACAGGTTCTTGTCTAACCTGGCTGTCACTATCTCTCCAGCAACTTAGAGGTATTTCCCATCACCTGCTGTCTGAACTTTTGAACTGCAGATGATGGGGGTTGAGAGTTTGGAATCTGTTGCATGCAACACATAGTTCCACTGAGCAGTAGTCCCTCACTAATCGAGTGCATTTAATGCAACAGTTTTAGGAAACCTTTATTTCTGATAGTTCCCTCCCTTTTTTAAAACCCACTGCGGCATCCATCCCCTTTCAGATATCGATGAGTGTGCCACAAGCAGCGAGCCTCTCTGCCCCCACATCTGTGTCAATACCCTTGGCAGCTATCGGTGTGAATGTAACGAGGGATACATACGTGAAGATGATGGGAAAACATGCACCAAAGGAGAGAAAGGTATTACACTGCTGTTTCTTAAATTATTCTGGCGCAAAGGGATCCACTGTGCACTGATAAAATCAGTGAAAAGCTCCAAGCCTAAAGACCTGTGCTCAGAAGGAGGTGCTATTAAAATTGCATATTTTTGCCTCCAGATCAGTTGATTCAGAGCTCTTGCTATTATGTTCTGAGCTGGTTGTTCCAGCTCTGACTACATAGCTCTCAGCCATTCCTGGTGAAGCTGAGTTCCCAGAATGCATTGCTCTTCTGCATATGAAGCTGAAGTCATAGACAAGCTGAACTATTCTGCCTTGTGAAGTCAGCTGAAGCTATTTATGCCCCTGGTGTGTCAGCTATCATTACTGAAAACATGATCCTTTCTTGGCTGACTTCGGTTTCCCTTCCCCAGTAAGAAAACGAGACTAGCTAAACCTTGTTCTTGTCCAGCAAGTCACAAAAAAGCAGACAATCAGTTCCTTACAGACATTTTGAGGGTAGAGGATTCCCATAATGTTTGAATGTCTAAGATCCCAAAAGTACTCTTCTTGAGCCTCCTTTTTTTAATCCAGCTTTGCAAAACTGAGTGGCCAGGTGACAGAGTTTCTGCACCTTTAACAGCTATGCAGAATAAATATTTTAAGCAGGTATAATTCCAGTCCACCATACATGAGAACAGGATTTTCTCCCTCTGACTCCTAAGTCTACTGTTTGAAACAACCTGCTTAGGAATGCCATCTTGTGGCAGATAGAAGTTCATGCGCCATTGCCAGCCTACAAAAAACCATTTGCATTGCAATAACCTTTCCAAAATAGCTGGCTTAAATTGCAGTGGAATTTAGGTCTTCAAGGCAGATCATCTGATAAATCCTTTCTTACAATGTTAATAATATACTGATTTTTTTTAAATTAAAAACAACAACACAACACCAGTATCTCACCCAATCTCCAAAGATAACACACAGGATGGAGAAAATGAATTAGTGTGTGTTTATTTTACAGCGCCAGAGGGATGAAAGCTGTCTGCTGCCCTTAGCCGTCTGTGAATTTGAGCTGCAGGTTTGAATATGGGGAGGGGCACCAAAGACATGGACCATCTTTGTGACATGAAGATCCTATTGCATATTGTAGAGAGGGCATGGTGTAGCCACATAATCAAATGAAAACCAATGGCAGATAATACAAGACAGATGATAACATAAGCCTTGTGGGGTGGGGGGAATACATGCAGGCACCCAACATGGAAACAATGGGTAGAATTCAACATTGTGCTCTTTGCATTGTTTCATCTGCTCAAGCGTTTCCATTTGCCAGCTGAATAGGTCTCCCCACTCCCCCACCACCACATGCTGTTTTGGGGGTTCTCAGGACCCCTCAGTGGCCCATTGTGCGGGTATGGGAGCACAAAATGGATGTCCTCGAGCAGGGGTTCTGCTGATGGGGCTGGCTAGGTGAATCCCACCTGAGGACTTCAAGCAAATGTACTGCCCCATCAAACAGTATTATCTTAGGAACTACTGCTGCTGCTGGGCTCATTTTCTTATTGTCTAACTTCAGACAAGAAAGGACCACGTTTTCAGTAATGATAGCACACACACAGGCGCTTAGGTAGCTTCAGCCAGTGTGGTGTAGTGGTTAAGAGCGGTAGTCTCGTAATCTGGGGAACCGGGTTCGCTTCCCCGCTCCTCCACATGCAGCTGCTGGGTGACCTTGGGCCAGTCACACTTCTCTGAAGTCTCTCAGCCCCACTTACCTCACAGAGTGTTTGTTGTGGGGGAGGAAGGGAGCCGCTTTGAGACTCCTTCAGGTAGTGATAAAGTGGGATATCAAATCCAAACTCTTCTTCTTCACAAAGGAAGAATATTATCTGTGACATCAGCTTCATATGCGGAAGAGAAATGCATTCTGGGAGCCCGGTTTTGCTGTCACTGAGGTGGCAAATAATTCAGAAGCCTCTCAGTCCTTCACACTTCTTCTGCAGAGTTTGGTACAGAACTTTGAGAGCCTCTGCTTTCGTTTTTATTAAAACAGAGCTTCCAGTACTCAACACTGTGGAAGAAAGCATAGGAGCATTGACTTATTTCAGCCCCCCTCTGCCTGGAAAAACAATTCAACTTTTGGGGGCAGCAGAGTTTGCATTTGCATTATATCTGTTGTATGCTGAAGTTCGGTCCTCGTGCAGGAGATGGAAGAGCTTAGCAGGTGTGAAAAAGATGTGGTTTTGTATGACTAGGCCCTCATTAGTTCCTGCCCATCTTTCCTACATGGCTGGGGGTCAGGCTCCACTTCTCCTGTGACTGTGTGACTCTTACTGGGTTCAGTGGTTTCATAGAATCATAGAATTTCCAGTTGGAAGGGACCCCGAGGATCATCTAGTCCAACCCCTTGCAATGCAGGAATCCTTCCCACACTTCTATGAGTACAAGAAGCAAATATTCATTGGGCCATGTTCTTGCTGGCTACAGTGTCCTACTTGCTAGGAACAGGAAGTAAGCCTCTCCCAGTGGCGTAGCGTGGGGGGTGCAGGGGGGGCCGGCCGCACCGGGCGCAACATCTGGGGGTTAGGGTTAGGGGGCGCAAATCCACGGGTTAAGGGGCACAAATTACTTGCCTTGCCCCGGGTGCTGACAACCCACGCTACGCCACTGGCCTCTCCCTCAAGGAATTGCCACTTGACTTGCTCTGGTGTTGCTGCAAGTAGTCTCCCTTGGCAGATGAAGTGCCTCTCCCTTACTCTTAACTCCTTTGCCAAGGATGTGTTGTGGAAGATAAACTGATCCCTATACCTGCAATCCGCCAGGTCACCCATTGCAAGCTTTAGCCTTTGCTGCCGGGAACCAAGTGAAAACAGCCCTAAACATTTTGCTACTGGCCAGGAAGCTACAACTGCTTGATGGCCTCTGCCCTCCTTTATCTGATTCTCACCCTTTTGCAGACCGCATCCTTGGGTTATGACCTCAGCTGCTGCCAGTGCAAGTTGTGGGGCTTAACTGATGCCTTTGTAGGGTTCTGGTGAATGTCAGAGGCTGCCGTGCCTTAAATTTCCAGCAGCTCCTGTGTGTCATTACTTCTTCTGTGCAAGCAGCACAGGGGGATGCAAGTTAGTTCTGGGCCTCAGATCCTGGCAAGGGATTTAAATGTAGCCTCTATAAACAACACACAGTGGATGTGGAACATGCGGCTTGTTGGGGGGGGGGGGAACTATTGAGAAAGCCTCATAGAATCAGGTGGGTGTGGGGAGGAGAACTTGTAGATCATCCCTGTTGAATGCAGGACCTGCATAGAATCATAGAGTTGGAAGGGACCCTGAGGATCATGTAGTCCAACCCCCTGCAATGCAGGAATATGCAGCAGCCCCGTACGGGGATCAAACCTGCAACCTTGGTGTTATCAGCACCATGCTTTAACCAACTGAGCTATCCAGGCTGAGCAGTTCAGGATGCAAATATGTAGCATCACTGGCAGGTGGTTGTCCCGCTTCTGTTAAAATACAGTCGTGCCTTGGACATCGAACAGAATCCATTCCGTAAGTCCGTTCGACTTCCAAAACGTTTCGAAACCAAAGCACGGCTTCCTGCAGCCGATCAGAAGCCGCAGAAGCCCACTTGGACATTCAGCTTCCAAAAGAATGTTTGAAAACCGGAACACTCACTTCCAGGTTTCGATCGTTCGGGAGCCAAGGTGTCCGAGATCCAAGGTACAACTATACCTCCAACAAAGGAGAGCCCCTCCCACCCTTGCCCCAATTTACCTCTAGCCTCAACCTGATTGGTGCTGATAATTGCGTGTCCGAGACCCCGAAACCACGCCCTCGTTGATGAATAAGACGCAAGGAGACAGATATTAAAGGTAAAGGTACCCCTGCCCGTACGGGCCAGTCGTGTCCAACTCTAGGGTTGTGCGCTCATCTCACTCTATAGGCCGAGAGCCAGCGCTGTCCGCAGACACTTCCGGGTCACGTGGCCAGCGTGACAAGCTGCATCTGGCGAGCCAGCGCAGCACACGGAAACGCCGTTTACCTTCCCGCTAGTAAGCGGTCCCTATTTATCTACTTGCACCCGGGGGTGCTTTCGAACTGATAGGTTGGCAGGCGCTGGGACCGAGCAACGGGAGCGCACCCCGCCGCGGGGATTCGAACCGCCGACCTGACGATCGGCAAGTCCTAGGCGCTGAGGTTTTACCCACAGCGCCACCCGCGTCCCTTGACAGATATTAGGTTAATGCTATTGGGCAAACTTAGGCCACAACTTTATTGGTTACAGAATATAAGTGGTATTGGCTTAGGCATTGGAACTGACCCGACTATATCTGACTCCTGCCCGTCACGCAGGGAGTCCTCCCACCCTTGCCTCAATTTACTTCTAGCCTCAACCTGATTGGTGCCGATAATAAGAATTAATAAGTACATTCAGTGCTTTTTCTGGGGGTACTCAAGGGTACTCAGCACCAGCAGCATTTTTTCAAGAAGAAAAGCACTGAGTATATTGTGCCTTTCCTAAAGATTTAAAGCTCTGTAAAGAGCACCTTATTTTGATACTTCTTGCGTTCTCTTGTTATTCTCTGCATTTCAATGGCTCCAGCAATGTACCAGTAGATATTTCAGAGTTACTTTTTACTGCGATTGTGGCTCTGGCCCTTTCTGCCATTAAGCGTCCCATTGCGCAGCAAACATAATCAGTGGTGATAAAGGCCGGCTTTGTGCAAATTGCAAGCAAAAGGTCTCGCTGCATGAGATATTGGCACAATTTACAGCATACAAAAATTGGCCCTTGAAGGGGGATTATAAATCACTGTGGGTCCTGTACAGTAAAGACTCAGATAAAAGTAGAGAGGTAAACACTCTCCCCCCCCCCCCAGATATAAAAAGAGTTTTACAAAAGGGCATTAAGACCTGCTAACTGGAAACAGCTGCTGCTAAGACTGTTTGCAGCGAGCTTAGGCTGGATCTGTGCAGCCTTTCATGGTGATTCACAACTGGGAAAGGTTGTTAATACCAAGGGCACCTCTTCCTCTCACGGAATGGCCAGGAAGGAAAACTTCAAAGGCTCATCACCCCAGCACAGCTTTCTTTGGCATTTCTCTTCCCTGCTTTGTTTTCTTCCTCTTGAGGGGAAAAATGCATTGGAATATTTGCTCTCTCTCTCACTCTTTTCCCCTTTTTGCAGGGTTTTCTGAGAAGGCTGATAACGTGGTGAAACCAGGGGCCTGCTGTGCCTCTTGCAAAGAGTTCTATCAAATCAAGCAGACAGTGTTGCAACTGAAACAAAAGGTACAAGAATCAGTGGCGGAGGCGGGGGGTGTGGTCCAGCCCGGGTGTCATCACGGGGGGGGGTGACAAAATGACAAAAATATGAGTTTAATATATATGTTTTTTAAATGGACTCACAAAATTTTTTAGTTCAGTCAACAAACGTAACAAAACGTGGCTGGCACTGGGTGCCACACCACGGGGGCCGGCACTTACCGCAGGGCCTGCAGCGTGCCCAAGCCACGCGTCTCTCCTGGGAGTGACATGGTGGCTTGGGTGCTTGCAGGCTCCACACTGTCTAAAACAGCAGCGTGGGACTTGCGGCTGCCCTCCGCCTCTCCCTCAGCCGCCCTACAGCTGAGGGGGAGGCGGCGGATAGGATCCATACAGTGCCCCCTGCCCCATAGCCGGCTCACCCCGCCCCTGGCTGTAGGACCAGGCTCCCAAGCGGCAAGCTACGCCACTGACAAGAGTTGAGAAGAAAGACATAATGGGCTTGGACAGAATCAAGTTTCTAAATAAGATATTTCATAGGCTTGCTGCAGAACAATAAACCCAGATATAGAAATTCAGCAAGTGAATTTGTCTTCTAGGGAAACGGTGCAATCTTGTTCCTTGGAGGCTTAAAAAAACCACAGTCACATGGGGATGTTTTCATAAAAGATAGTTCAGAAGAATAATCTTAATTTAGGGCAATGAGTAGTCCTAGAACCAGATTTTCGGTCCCTTCCAATTGAGTGGCCAGTTTCACAAGAGTCGGTTTATTCACATTTTGTATTCACCATATTTTGGGGGTACATTAATAGAATCCCACATAATGAAGTTGAACTGTAAATACTTTTCACACACTATTTTCTGATGCAGGAGAGGTTAAATCCTCAAAGGAAAGAGCATGGATGCTAGATTATTTTATGGGCAATTATTCCTTTCAAAGCTATATAATGTGTCAAATTGCTGGGGGGGGGGTATCTACACTTGGCTTCGCGCCATCATTTTTCTCCCAACACAAGGTAATTATCTTTTTTATAAAATAAAATAAAAATCACACATAACTGAGACACATGTGAAAACTTGAGTTTTGTGAAGGTTGTCATGTGTGTTTTGCATGGGATTGTTTGGAAAAATATATCAGGTGACGTGGATCTTGCTATTCAGCTAGAGGACAGAAGAGAAAGAGTCCTTTTCCAGGGTTTTGTTATTTTGTTTTAATATAAGACTATGAAGCCAATTTTATTCTGTAAAACCTTCAAAAGAAGAATCCACAAGGGAACTGTATTGTGTTTTATCTTATGCAAGAGAAACTCACCCTGGCCAATATCATCAGGAATCTGATAGCATGATGTGAGGCTAAGCTTGAAGTGTGAATCTTCCAACTCTAGGCTTGGAATCTTGGAGGGTGGGGCAAAAGGCAGCCGAAATTTGGAGTGATTTCAAGCGGGGTGGGATTCCTAATAGGTTTTGGGGGCTTTTCGAGTGGCAGTAGATGTTCTGGGGTGTTCTAGGTGTTCCAGAAGCCACCATTTCCCTACCCCCAATAAAATGCACCAGAATGACACTACAGTACTGGGTTTGGAGCAGTATGGGGAGATATGAAAGAGCTTGCAGTGAATGGAGTGTGCAGAGTGCAAATGGGGCTGCAAAATAATAGTGAAGTATTGGAGCTCAGCTGCTGCCTGATGGACATGATGCTCCTGGAGTTCTCAGAAGCTTACTGTATATGTATGCATTTATTTGCTAAATTTATATCCCACCTTTCCTCCCAAAGGAGCCCAGAATAGCTCCTTTTTAGCAGTTCGTTGGATAGAATATCAGCAGTGGTAAGCAAATTTCCCTGGAACAGAGCCTGCTTATACAGTGGTGCCTCGCAAGACGAAATTAATTCGTTCCGCGAGTTTTGTCGTCTTGCGGTTTTTTTCGTCTTGCGAAGCACGGTGTCGGGAAAGTTTTGGAAAAGCTTCAAAAATCACCAAAGTCTTTAAAAACCTCAAAAAAGGCTACCACACCGCGTTCTATGAGTTACTCCTCGAAGTCAAGTCGCAACTGTATTAACGGTGTTAAGAAAAGGGAAACAAACTTGCAAGACGTTTCCGTCTTGCGAAGCAAGCTCATAGGGAAAATCATCTTGCGAAGCAGCTCAAAAAACAAAAAACCCTTTCGTCTAGCGAGTTTTTTGTCTTGCGAGGCATTCATCTTGCGAGGTACCACTGTAATCACTGATCTCTCCCTGCAGTGTGGAGTGCTTGGTCCTGTTCTCAGCTCACATTATATCGGAAGAAATCCCGATACACCTGGAGAATAGCCACTGTGAAGCAAGCCCTAAATCAGGCATAGGCAAACTTGACCCTCCAAATATTCTGGGACTACAACTCCCATCACTCCTAGCTAACAGGACCAGTGGTCAGGGATGATGGGAATTGTAGTCCCAAAACATCTGGAGGGCCGAGTTTGCCTATGCTTGCCCTAAATGGTGTCCCAGGATTCTCTGCAGCACTCAGGGATTCTATGCAGATATAATGGAAATAATTCCTCAGAGATACATTTAAAAAAAACAACAGAAAACAACCTTCTTCCCTATCATCCCCCTCGACAGAGTTGCAAAACTAGTCAGAGAGAGGGAGAGCCCTTTGCCAAAAGAAATAAATAGCAAGCAATCCAGGCATGCAAGCATTCCCATGTGTGGAATAGCTCTCATTGCACATGTTGCTTGCGCAGATACATGTAAGTATGTATTTAATTAGAAATAAGTGTTAGCCTGGACCCAGGCGATCCATCGCCAAGCCAACTGAGCAACGGTTTCCGCACGGAACTTCTTCAAAAGTACATGTAATGCAGGCCATGGTGGGGCTTAGATCTCATTTCCGTGACTATTGTCCCTTTTGAAAATATTGTAGGGAGGTATTCTGTTTCCTTGTGAAGAAAGATTCATGCATGAAGAGAGACTTGGGAGTGAGATCATTTTCAAGAGCGATTCCAAGCCTGAATCAAGAAAGTGGAATGGAATAGACATTAGATCAGTGCATGCTCGTGTCTGGCTAAGATAATAATATTCATCATCAAAGCACAGGGCAGATGCCTCTGACCTTGAGATAGTGAAGAGAGAGCAGACAGGAGTGAGTGACTGGTTTAGCATACATTGCATGAGCTTCAGGGTCACGTTGAATTTGCAGGTTGGCATCTGTTGTCCCTACGTGTCCTTTATGAAAGTGCCTGTCTTATCTGTTCGAGATAAATAAACGAGTTGGCACTAAAACTCAAATTGCATATGTGTACACTCAGCAGGGGGAGAAAATGTTCTCATCCTGTAAGTATTCTGAGCCCTTGGAAGGGAAAACACCATAGCTCAGTGCTTTGAATGCGGAAGATTCCAGGTTCAGTCTCTGGCACCTCTGTTTGGTCTAATCCAAAAGATTGTTCGTTATTCCCATCGTCCTTGATCATTGGCCACAGGGTAGGTAAAGGTAAAGCTATTCATTCCAGACTATTGTCTAAACAAAATAAAAAAAATTCCTTCCAGTAGCACCTTAGAGAGCAACTAAGTTTGTTATTGGTATGAGCTTTCGTGTGCATGCACACTTCTTCAGATACACGCATGAAGTATTTGTTTAGACTACGGCAGACCAACCTGTAACTAGACTATTGTCTACTTCTTCATGTTTGGGTATTTTTTGCTTCCTTGAAGCTGCCCATTCACAATAACTCTGAGAGGTAGATAAGGTGGTGGAGAGATAATAGGGGACAGTGCAAATTAAGCCCCTGATCCGCCATGTCCAGAGCTCTGCTGGGCTCCACTGACCTCTGCCATGAAGGAAGCTCAACCACCAACAGAGAAGCTCTGTCAGAGAGAGGTGCCCCAGTACACCTTCCCAAGTGGCAGGAAGGAGCTGACACCAGTATCTGCCCACAGAAAGTTCTTAAGAAGAATGGTTTGGGGCAGAGAGGCTCCTGTGCCTACCATGCTGCTATCACATGATGCCAGTGGACCTGATCTGCGCCTCTTTTCTGTTCCAGCCTAGGAACTGTCTCAGAAAAGGGGCATTTTTCCTGACCCCGACCTTCCTCTCCAACAGGTGCAGGTTCCAAGTCTGTGGGTGCAGTGCCAGCAACACCACTTCATCCAACCCCTGATGGCCAGGGGTTAGGATTGTGCCTTGAGTTATCCATCAAATAGCAGTGGGCTTCCCAGTCCAAGTGTAGCACCATGGCTCTTTCAGAGGATAGACTGATGGAATTAGTAGCTGGGTCATGAACTGCGGATTTCATTTTGTGCTGTCTTCCAAGCAACAAAAACTCAACTAGGTGTCACTGAATATGCTGCTTGTCTAATGGTTTGTGGTGCTTTCTTTCTTGCAGGTTGCTTTGTTGCCAAATAATGCTGCTGACCTTAGCAAACCAATCACAGGAGAAAAAGTACTTGCATCCAATACATTAATACCAGGTCCTCCTGGACAGCCAGGTGATCAGGGTCCTCCAGGTAAAGCAATAAAGTAGTTAAACTAATTTTTATGTTTATCGTATTTGTATACTACCATTCGTACAAGGAGCTTAGAGTAGGAACAACCATGCATCAACACACACACACACACACACACACACACACACACACACACACACAGTTAGAGCCTCAAAGCATGCCTTGTTCCATCTGGTTTATCCCATCCCAGGAGCTGTCCAAGGTTCTGCAAGCTTGATTCTTCCACACCTCCTCTCCTAACTGAAAATATTCCATTCCCAAGCTATATATTTGTTTAGTGATTAGTGAATCTCTGGACTGGGAACTGAGAAAGGTTTCTCAACTTTCCTTGCCAAGCTCAACCTGTCAGATCTCACTCTTTGTGCTCTTTATATGCAGGAGACATAAAGAGCTACAGTATTTATTCCATTTATTGCATTTCTATCCCACCTTCCTTGCAAGCTGGGAATCAAGGCAGCTTGTGACATTTTAAAAACATCATTGTGAAATACAAAGTAATAAAAACACATTCAGAACCAGCATTAAAGTACTACTATTAATACCGTGCAATAAAGTGCAATATCATTAGAGTCAGCGTAGTAGAGTGGTTAGAGTGTTAGACTGGGATCTGGGAGGCCAGGATTCATATCCGCACTCAGCCATGAAGCTTGGTGCGTGACCTTGGGCCAGTCACTCTCTCCCAGCCTAGCCTACCTCACAGGCTTATTGTGGGGATTAAATGGGGGAGCAGGGAGAAACATATAAGCCTCCTTGAGCTCCTTGGAGAAAATGCAATCAATCAATCAATCAATCAATCATGTGGTTGTTTTGTTTTATTTATGTAATTGTATCATAATCTTTGGGCTGAATTGATCTTATTTTGGCCAAGATACAAGGCAGATGGTGCAAACCTCTGGGCTCCTGGTTAGTCTTCCAGCAATTGAGACACAAACTAAAGTAGGGGTGTTGCTTCTCCCCGTTGTTCAGCCCCCATTCACCAGCCACATCTATGAACCCACTGACAGCCTTAACTATCTCCCTTTTATTGCAGGTGCCACAGGTCCGCAAGGGAGCCCTGGATTTCCTGGATCTCCTGGCCCTCCAGGTCTGCCAGGCCCTAGAGGAGCAATGGGGCCTATGGGACCCTCTCCAGACCTGTCCCATATTAAACAGGGCAGAAGGGGCCCCGTGGTCAGTATTGCACCTCCGTTCCATAAATGCACGCAGCGTATTGGTTGGGTTATTGCATGTTCATAAGGACTGTGGTTTTGTTTTTCAGGGTCCTCCGGGAGCACCAGGAAGAGATGGAGCAAAGGTGAGCAAGCAATTCTTTCCCCTCTAGCATGTGTCTTATGAAATGTTGCTCCCAGTTCCCAACTAATTGGAAGGCAGAAGGAAGGCAGCAGTAAAGCTGGGCCTATCCCAAGAAACAACAAGCAGAGCCCCCTTGTGGCTGAGTAGTGTGAGAGTGTCTTGCAAGTGAGCTTCTGTATGAATCGGGCGTACAACATGGCCTGCCTGCTAATATAGATTGTTTTCCTGTTGTTCCTTCCTAACCAGTGTGATGGTCATGTACAGACTGAATCTCCACCTGATACCCCTGATATCTCCCAAGCTCAGGATATCTGCAGACCCAAATCCTGATACAGTAATGGAGCCACAAATCCATCCTATTGAGCATTGCAGTTTATCTTTTATCACAGATCAGGGCCATATCTCCTTAGATATGTCTTGAAATTGAAGGTTCTATGCTGTCATAATATTGTCCATCTGCTATATTAATTGGAAACATTTTTAGCCTACATCTAGGGTATAAATGAATCTATTGTTCATTTACTTTATGGTAAATTTGATTGGAACTATTCCCAGTACAGATAGATTTGGCTTTTGGGGTGAAGTTGTTTTAGAGTTTTTCCCTGCTCTGGAATAATCATCAAAGCTTTTTTCAATTTGTTGATTTGAATACTTACAACAGATAAAAAAAATGTGATTAGAACTATGATACTTAACTTTGATATGTAACAAAAGGTAAATGAAATCAAGGCTTCACACTTAGTAGTGTGAGAGCCCTGCTGAACTCAGTCAGAAATACACCTAGTGAAAGTCCCATTTAACTCAGTAGGATGTTCAAATGCTTAACCTTTGCTTCAAGTGTAACTTTTCAGATCACTTAATGCGTGGTTTGAACGATGATTTAGACTTTTGTTCATTGAATTTGTTTTCTGGCCTTCAACTCAAAGGTTTGCAGGTTGTTAAATAGCAATACAGTATATTAAAAATATACAAATCCATAGTAGAGGTGGTTGGGGGGAAACCAATTTAAAATAAGTATCATAAATGAAATATCAAATATGAAAAAAACTACATTACAATCAGGGACATGGGTGGCGCTGTGGGTTAAACCACAGAGCCTAGGACTTGCTGATCAGAAGGTCGGCGGTTCAAATGCCTGCGACGGGGTGAGCTCCCGTTGCTCGGTCCCTGCTCCTGCCAAGCTAGCAGTTCGAAAGCATGTCAAAGTGCAAGTAGATAAATAGGTACCGCTCTGGCGGGAAGGTAAACGGCATTTCCATGCGCTGCTCTGGTTCGCCAGAAGCGGCTTAGTCATGCTGGCCACATGACCTGTACGCCGGCTCCCTCGGCCAATAAAGCGAGATGAGCACCACAACCCCAGAGTCAGCCACGACTGGACCTAATGGTCAGGGGTCCCTTTACCTTTACATTACAATCAAGCAGCAACCCACTTCTCAACCAGTTTCATATGCTTGAGAAAACAAATGCATCTTGATTGACACCTAAATCAATCTGTTCTAATGCTACCATCCTTTATACACTAGCCTATATATACACACTGAATTCAATGAGACCAGCTTTTGAGTAGACATGCATAGGATAACACAGTAAGTGATTTTGCATGGTGAAAGTGAGATGAGGTCTCTACAGAGTCGAAGGGACATTTTGATGCAGGTTCCTTTTGAAGGATGGAATAGGTCTCCAAGTTATGGTTCCATTTTAATCAATGAAAATGATGTTTGTTACAGGGTGACAGAGGGGCACCAGGAGAAAAAGGAGCACCGGTAAGTATCCTATCCAGTTGCAATGCAATGTTATTTATTTATCCAATTCCAAATGTTTATTTACATACTACCGGTTGGACTAAACGACCCTCTAACTCTACAATTCTATGTTACAACAACTAAACAGTTGCACTAGCATAAACCCGTTGAGCTACACAACATAACTTCCCCTCCCTCTCCTCTCTCTGTGTAGCCCCCCCCCCATGTGTTTCTAAATCTGTTGCGGGATTGCTCCCAACCCCCCCCCCCAGATCAAATTTAGGAGGTTCACAGGGAGAGGAAAGGCAAAGTTCCATTGCACAGCCCAAAGTGCTTGTGCTAGCATAACTGTTTAGCTGGTTACCACCCATAACAGCATGAAATGAAGGGCTGCTTCATGCATTTCTTTTTCCTATAACACTGTTAAATATACTAATATTAAGAGCTACAGTGACCAAAATCTGCACCTCAAGATTGCCCCATCCAGACAAATGCACTGGGCATGGGAACGCTGAAAAACTGACCCCTGTCTTCCAGGGCTGCTGATAATTGTATGGGTGGAATAGTCTCTCCCATACCTGTGTCCCTTTGTCCTTCCAACTGCAATCAGTTGGAACAGTCTTCATTTATGCTTTGGAACTGCTCTGAAGCACACATGGGACTCCAGACTGAGGACATTGTTTAATGGTTAGCAGTATGAAGATGTGAGCATCTGTCTGTTTTTCAGTCCCAATAAGTGCCTTCTGTGCTCTTCCCTTTAAGCAATTGTTGACGTTTCTTTTAATGAAATAAGTGGTGAAGACATGAACGTCTCATATCAGACACTCTCAGTTCCTATACAAAGCCAACTCTGTGCCCACAATAGTGAGGGTAACAGAATCTTACACACTGAAGCATTTCTCATTTCTTATTTGAAATTTGCATTCAGAAAAGATTCAAGTACAGATTGTTTTTCCAGATTTCAATTTTCATTAGTTTCCTTGCTTCTGTTTTGATAATCTATCCAAAACTGGTGCTGTGATGTACTGTAAGTCATTAGGAACCTGAGGGACTAGTAACTTAATTGTCACCCCTGTAATATTTCCAGGGGCCACCGGGTTCTTTTGACTTCCTGTTGCTAATGATGGCCGACATCAGAAATGACATCGCTGAGCTGCAAGAGCGGGTGTTTGGCCACAGGACTCATTCATCGACTGAAGAGTTTCCATTACCTCAGGAATTTACAAACTATCAGGACATAGTGGATCTGGGATCCGGAGAAGATTACAAACAAAGGACTGCGTCAAAAGACTCCCGAACGTATAGAGAAGGCAATCATTAAAACGAGCTTGTGACCTGGAAAGAGTAAAACTTTGCAGGGCAGTGGTCCACAAGTCATTTAAGCCAGCGTACTTGCACATATTCCAGTTTAGCCCCATGGAAATGGGCCCATGTACACGATTCACTGAAGTTACCGTCTTCCCTTACTATAGCACTGCAGGCAGGACCAAATTAAGAGCCAGCTAGGTGATCAGCACCCAGTGAGAATTATCCATTGTTGGAATGTGCAGGTGGAGAACTGCATACGAAAAACCAAGACCTGATTGTAGGTAGAAGACGTATGTGTTAGAAAGGAACAATCCTTTCTACTCTTTTCCTTAACATGCTGTCTTTTGTCTGCATGGAGTTGTTTGTTTCTAAGATAAGGAGTGTTCAAATGTTTGAACTTCTGGTTTCTGCCTGAAGTGCTACAGCTCAGCGGTTTATGATGGCTATATATTACCTTCCATATCAGAGGAAGAGTGTGCTTCAGAATAGCTATTGGTGCAGAACACAAGTGGAACAGCGCCATAACATTCATGCCCTGCTTGTGGGCATCCCAGACGCATCTGGTCAGCCACTATTGGGAATGGAATGCTGTTCTAAATAGACCTTTGCTCTGATCCAGCTGCTCTCTTAGCTTGTTAACAACAGTTGCATCCCATGAGTCTGCTTATAGTGTAACTCGACTCTCGAGAGCAAGGGGCATCAGGAATTTGGCTGTCACCCACGATTCCCATATCATACTCTGCTCACATCTAGAGGAAAGATTGTGCAGATATAGCTATGAACATCCACCTGCACTGCCTTCCTCCTGTTCCTTTTTTCTTTTGCAGGCTGGACAGGATACTGGTTGACCATGATTATATATCTTCAATTTTTCTACATCTCAGAACACATTTCATTCTCCTTTGTCTTCCAGTAGGGGAGCAGCTGCTGTATCTGTGACTTTAAAGTGTAGATAGTTTTAAAGGAGCTCAGTTGAAGGAGCAAGTTGGATGTACTCCACCTGTTGAGACACTCCCAAATAATTATGCCGTGCTGTTGGCCTCCATTTCCTTGCCACCCAACTCCCTGATGCTGCATAAGGATGCTGGTGGGAGTTGAAGGTGAGGACATGTACAACGTGGAGTTGTAAATAATTGTTTGCCTTCTCATCTTCACCATGGCACTCCCTTCCTCTCGTTGCACCAAGGATACAGCGTGTGCAAGGCAAGGAATGGGACTTTCTGCATTCACGCAATGGCCTAACATTAGCATAAAGGAGGAAATTTTACATCTGCAATGAGTGCTCAAAAGTAGGCAAGGGTCTTCAAGTGCACCAGGGTAATTTTCTACAGCCGAGTGACCTGTAAGCTACCTTAGGTACTAGTTCTGTGGCTTAAATGATTTGTGGACTGCACTGTTAAAAAGAGTTGTACAATATTTTAAAAATGCACTGATAATGTATAAAGTTTTATATGTTTTATTGTCCAAAGTTTCTCAGTTCCCTTTTTTACAGAGACGTTTACTGGTAGTAACACAATCCAGCTGTATTATTTGTTAGCCCAAGAACTAGCCCCAGAACTGTCTAAACATGGACAAGATAATATATTCTGCTTTGGAGCAAAAAGTAAAAAATAAAAATCCTAACGCATTGGTAATTCCAAGTGCAGTGGCATAATTTGCAGTCAGAGGTAGCTACAAATGCATGACGTTTCCTTTTTCTTAGCAAAACGGTGAAGTTCGGGAAAGTGGCCAAGTGTCAATGGTTCATAAATTGTACTTTCCAGCCACGAGGCAATGACCTTGAATGATCCCCATTTTAGGTGCAATATAAAATTGCCTGTAATCAGACTTCTAATCCATGTATCTTTGGTAAAATACAGTCATGTAGTCAGTTCTCGTTCCATATTCCCCTGGCTGCAACTTGTACGCAATGCCAATTTAGTGCTGACGGGGGAAGAGATTATGGCTGGTCCATGGTCGAAAAAGAATATACTGAATATATCCCCTACTTAAATCTAAGTCCTGATTTGAGGGCTGCAATGCTCAAGGGCTTTCACATCAGTAGTGGTACTTCAGAAAATCTCATGAATCTAGTTCAGTTCACTTGATGGCTTTTTTTCTTAAAAGCCTGTGCAATGGACCAATTGGATTGGCTCCTTGGGTTTTTAGTAAGGGGTAGTGGAGAATTAAGGCATGAAAGCAGAATAGCAAGAAGAGGCAGTGTGGGCACGATCCAGCAGACCTTAAGTCCCATTGCTTTCAGTGGGAGTGAGCCAAGTGCAGGCTTTGACTGACTCACGCCCACTCTTATTTTACGAAAAGAAAAGTATAATCAAACCATTCACAACGTTTAGTGTAATGAGAATATTCTGTGTTGTCAAAAGATGGTTAAGTTTTGCTTTTTGCTTTTTAAAGGCTTAATGTGTCTACAGGAAAAAAAATACCAGCTCCCTAGAACGTGTTTTTAAATGGCCACAATTCCAAAGATTCTATGTATTGCTGATTAAGCATCATTATTAAAAGTAGGTCCATTGATTTCAGTAGAAAGGCGGCTTGATCCTGTGCATGTTTACATAGCAGCAAGAGCCACTGAGTTCAAGGGGACTTGCGCTTAGCTAAAAGTGCATAGGATCTGCACATATGACAGCTTAGCCCCTTGGTGTGTATGCTTCTGCAGTAGGTAGCAGTAACCAAAAATTAGCCGAGATGCAGACATTGAAAAGTTTTTGCTAAAGATTTCCCAACTGGCATGAACAAACACACAGAAGAAAGGAAGAAATAATATTCTATAACCTTTGAGTAATCCCTCGAGATCTCAACGCAATCCCTGTCCGAGACTGTCTGTAACTGTGCAGACAGTTCACCAGGAATTTTCCCCATGCATGCCTCACAGTAATGAGTGGATCTGGGGCAAACTCATTCTCAGTAGATTTGTGGCCAATCTCTCTTTGAGATCATATTTCACAGTAAACGAGCGGAAGCAACTGGAGGTTAACAACGTGACCCATAATTTTATTACTTTCCTCCCTTTTTTGTAATAATAAAAGACACAGAGCTTTGTCCCTTTGTACACATTTAGAAAGCTATGCAACACACAATTATTTATGATGATTATATGAAGTACTAGAGAGTATAAAAAGTGACTGTGATTATGCAATGTATTTGCAATTAAAGAAGGATATTTTTTCTTATTTCGGTATTGACTCCCTTGTATCTTTTCCAACTTCTTTTTGAAATGGTGTCTATGAAGAGAGGCCAGCAGAGACAAACACTGCACATTGCTGGAGGGCAGTGAGTGTGACAGGCTGACACATATAAGCTATTTTTCCCAAGCAGGTGCTACAGCTTTTACTGGCTGACTATACAAAGTGGAGAGGGGGGGATATCCTTCAACTGTGTGAACGAAATCCTCAGGCCGTAATTATGTTAGGTGTAGTTTGGCTGTAAAGCAAATACAAAAGTATGTCGTTTTTGTGGATGTGGCCAGTGACAAACTACAGTTGATGGGCACCTCATACCATCTCTCCCCAAGTCGGTGCCCTTCTAGACCACAGCACCCAGCATCCCTCATGCTGGAATCCAACAACATCTGGAGAACAGCTGCTTAGGAAAGGCTGCTTCAGAAAGCCAGCACCCAGGCTCCCTCGATCAAGGTGGGGCTCTATAGTTTAAGGTTGCCAGACGTCCCCTGTTCCCGGGGACAGTCCCCAGATTTGCAAATCTGTCCCTGGACAAAATCCGTCCCTGGAATGTCCCCAGATTTGCAAATCTGTCCTTGGGAAACGTGGCAGCAGCAGCCTCAGCAGCCCAGAGCCAGCCTGTTAGCGCAGTTGGCTCTGGCTGGCTTCAGGAGCTGCTCACTGCTTGCTGCTGTGGTGCAGGAAAAATGTCAGGCGCCACGGCAGCCAGAGCCAACTGCACTACCAGACTGGCCCCTCCTGGGCAACGGCCACCCGCCCGTGACTCCCGAGCCTCCCCTGATCTATCAAAACAAAGGGGGAAGGAGATTGGGGAAGGCTTGGGAGTCATGGGCAGGCAGCGGGCTGTTGCCCAGTTTTTTAAAAAAACTGCACATTTATGTTTTACAGGGTGCGAAAGAAGGGCTTTGCACCTTATTACCAGTGTGGTGTAGTGGTTAAGAGCAGTAGTCTCCTAATCTGGGGAACCGGGTTCGCGTCTCCGCTCCTCCACATGCAGCTGCTGGGTGACCTTGGGCTAGTCACACTTCTTTGAAGTCTCTCAGCCCCACTCACCTCACAGAGTGTTTGTTGTGGGGGAGGAAGGGAAAGGAGAATGTTAGCCGCTTTGAGACTCCTTAAAGGGAGTGAAAGGCGGGATATCAAATCCAAACTCTTCTTCTTCTTCTTCATACAATATGCATGTGTGCTTGGGCCCAGGGGCTTTTGCCTCACCATCCCCGCTACTGACACCCTGTTGCTACTCAGCTAATAATAATAATAATAATAATAATAATAATAATAATAATAATGTGTCCCCAGATTCATTGAAAAAAATCTGGTAACCATACTATAGATGAAATGCCAGGTTTACAAAGCGAGGGGTGGTCTTGGTTCTTGGAGATAACTGGTTGGTTCTGTGGGGAAATGCAAAGTTCACACCAGTGCCCCAAACTGGGTGGACCGGTCCGCAAGTTTCAGGCTCCATCAGGGGAGAATACAATGTGTTACGGCTTGCAGAGCTCAGGGAGGTGCACCTCCATCAAAAGTCCCTGGAAAAACAGAGGCTCTCTCTCCACTCGCGCCTGTCTTCCATAATGCTGAATGATGCATTAGCTCTATACAGTGGTGCCTCGCAAGACGAAATTAATCCGTTCCGCGAGTCTCTTCGTCTTGCGGTTTTTTCGTCTTGCAAAGCACGGCTATTAGCGGCTTAGCGGCTATTAACGGCTTAGCGGCTTTAAGAAAAAGGAAACAAACTCGCAAGAACTCGCAAGACGTTTCGTCTTGCGAAGCAAGCCCATAGGGAAATTTGTCTTGCGGAACGACTCAAAAAACAGAAAACTCTTTCGTCTAG